AAAAAGGCATTTGATCTGGTAAACAATGACGTCCTGCTTAAAAAGTTAGCCGTGGTTGGGTTTACCCCCCCACTTGCTTAGTTTTTTTGCCAGCTATATGAGCGATCGGCAGCAGTATGTAGAATACGCGGGACAAGTCTCAGAACCATATTTTACGCGATCTGGCGTGAGTCAGGGCAGTAATCTCGGACCACTATTGTTTATAATTATGATAAATGACTTGACAAGAGTGGTTCAAGACGCTAGATGCTTACTGTTTGCTGATGATCTCAAGCTCTCTTTTGCTGTAAAAAGCGTGGATGACTGTAAAAGGTTGCAAAGGGACATAGACAGGGTAGTGGATTGGAGTAGAGATAACCTCTTACAATTTAACACCTCAAAATGCGTGATAATTAGTTTCTCTCGCGCACGCAGCCCTGTGGTACATAATTATAATATAGACGGAACGCCGCTCACACGGGTCACAGAAGTTAGGGACCTAGGGGTAAATTTTACCACTGCGCTGACGTTTCGCAATCACATCACCAAAATTTGTAAGAAAGCATACAGGAACCTAGGTTTTATCCTTCGCACGGTTCAACAGTTCACAAATATTAGCGCGGTTATTGCCCTGTATAATGCTCTGGTCCGAAGTCAGCTAGAATGTAACGCAGTTATCTGGGCTCCTCATGAATCTAAATATAGGTTCATGGTGGAGCGGGTACATAACAAATTTTTGAGATATCTATATTTGCGTCGGTATGGTGTATACCCACTCTACCCATTAATGTACCCAACTTTATTTATAGTGGGAATGGTGGGATACAACACTCTGAGTGCTAGAAGGGAACTCGCACTCACCACATATATCATCAAAATAATTAGGGGGAAAGTACATAATGCTGACCTATTGGGACAGGTGTATTTTTGTGTGCCAGACGGGTATGTGTGGCGACGGCGACAACCGAAATTGCTGGCGGAGCCGCGCGCCCGTACCAATCTTCTAAGCCAGGCGCCACTGACGCGCGCACTTCGCACATTAAACCTAATAGCCAGCGAGATAGACATATTCTGTTGTGCTCTGAGTGAATTCACAAGAGTAGCGTTGAATGTTATTTGCTATAACATGGACTTGTAATACGTGAGGCCTGTCGGCCTAGTGGGCCCGCCCGGGACGAGTTGTGTGATGGGCGGGTCAGTATGTGCCGTGTCTGGGAGTGGTTTATCTGGGATGGGTGTGATTGGAAGTATATGAGTGTGACTGTGTGTCTGGCTGTAGTGATGAATGAGGTTGCTAAAATTGTTTATAAAATAAGTGTTATTTACTACTATACATGTTTGTAACAAGAAATGGCTACACTATTGTATTAGGTACAAAACCTGTAAAAATAGTTGTATTGTGTGTCATATAAATAAATAAATAAATAAAATTACTGTGTATTGTACTAAAAGTAATGTTGCCGAAAGGCAGCTGTTAATCGGACATTTTGCACTATTAGTACACAGTGTCAACTTCAAGCTAGTACTAAAAGTACCTATTGTATACTCTGTCTACTAGTGTCTACGTTCGTTTGTTGTGCGACGTACTATTAATGCTCCGCTTTATTGTTCCGTATTGGTAAACAGTATGAGAGTAAAAGGGACAATTGGGTTGTAAAGTATGAAGGAAAATCAAATAGTATGCTTAAAAGTTTAATGTGAAGTAATCTAAAAATTCGTATTTAAAAGTCAAACTGTTAAGGTTTATGGGATTCAGAAAAGGATAACACATTAAAAATAATCAAGAACTGTGTAATTATTCCTATACTGAAGAAAAGTAGTACTAATATAGATATTAAAAAATAAAAATAAAAAGCGCGGTCTGCCAAAATTCTATGACACTTTTTTTAAATTACTTGATGTTCCATTTCAGTAATGTTAGTAATATCAATGCAAACGCTTAAGTTTTCTACTCCTACTAAAACTGTACTAATAGTACTATTACTGTGTGCTAGTACGTTGTACGAACTGTACTAGTACGGTGCGAACCTGCAGAAGTCCGATTAAGCACAAGACTACTTACTATTATTATTACATTATAAACAGACACTTCTTTTATTTATTTCCATAGATAAAGCGATGTATCAATGCTACAACACGGTCACGACCCATTGGAGGACCAAGCGCCCTCTTACGAGCTTTGAACGTGTTGTCACATTGACACTATTACCAAGCCAATAATCCAGTTATACGAAAGCATATGTAACTAAACCATAGCGTGTTTCAACAAATTCGGTACAACGCCATCTATCGAGCGTAGACGTGTCATTCATCATTGTAATAACCGGTGATCGGGTCTGCGACACCACGAAATACCAAGTTGAAAGACGAAACAAAGCTTTATCGCACACACCCTTTAGCAAATAGCACAAAAAAAAATATTTTGGGCATCAGTATAATTCTTAAAACACCTAGCCAGTTCTACAAAGAAATATTTAACTTAAAATTTTTACTTTGTTACGATTTTATTATATGTACCTATATACATAATAAACTTATTAAACTTCATTATTTTGTCGGTTGAGCGAAGTAAAACAGCAGTCAATGCGTGTTTGCAAGTTCGATTCACTCAATTCATGAGGTACAAATTGTTCAAGTTTTTTTACTTTCCCGATTTGCTTCAAGTGGCTTAATACAGTTTTATCACTTACCCCGATGCCTGCAGCTATATCTGAAGTGCTTTGTGATGAATCCGCTTCCACAATAGCCTCTTCTTCATTTTCCACTTTGGTCTCCGGCCATCCACGGGGTTGGTTCTGAAGGTTTCCAGAACGAAAACGTTGAAAAGTTGCTTTCTTTTGCGACACCAGCGCCATACACATCATTAATCCTTCGAGCTGTTTCTGTAGCACTGGTGCCACGGTAGAACTCGTACTTGCAAATATAGCGATATTTCATGTTTTCCATTGTGCGGTAATAAGCGACGCCAAAGAAAAACATAATGAGGAAAAAAACAAATGTATGACTGTTTTCAAAACTTAAATATACCAGCTAAATAAATTTATAAATTTGAATTTGGAATCTTAAAAATTTACCAACGCTAGATAGCAGTTTACAAAAAATATTATTATTATGTGTACTTCTAGTTTTAAGGTCTTAGAAACATCAGAGAGAGATAAGTTCTTATTAAAATACATATTTTTGTGCTTTTTCTTCTTTTATTCTTAATCCGGTAACAGAAGCTTTTTATTGTAACGTAAATTAGACCCCTAACATTATAATTTGGTGAATCGGGTGTAGGTATGCAGCTGTGCATATTGACAACAGACCAAGAGCAAGGTTTCATGTTTTAAGGAAGTTAAGTTACTCTAACCTAGTCATGTAAAACATATTGTATTTAGAATTAGAGAAAATTTATTTAACTCTGACATTTCTAAGAATTTCAGACCGATGAAAATACTAATAGTTTTTTTTTTGGAAATTTTGTTTATGGACTATACCCCCCTTAAAAAATTAAATGTATTTTAAACTACGACCCGCGTAAATCTGTGTCAAATAAATTGTGCGTACAATTGCGAATAATTGACGACTAAATTTGGGAGAAAACAGATCTAGTCTAGGTGGCCTAGTTTTTGAGATATAAGCGTGGCCAAGTGTGGGAGACTGAGCCCAGCAGAGCTATGAGTCATAAGTGTATTGCCAACCCCCAGATTAAGGGGGAGGGGAAAAATCAAATACCTTAAAATGTATGAATAAAACACGATGTCTATAAAATATTTACATTGTTCTCTTACTAATAATATTACATTACAAATAGACACTAATTTAATTTACTTGTATAGATAAGGCTATGTATCAATGCTACAACACGGTCACAACTCATTGGAGGACCTAGCGCCCTCTTACGAGCTTTGAACGTGTTGTCACATTGATACTATTAACAACACGGTAATACAGTTATACGAAAGCGTGTGTAACTAAACCATAGCGCGATTCAGAAATTCGGTACAACGCCATCTATTGTATCATTGTAGCGTGACATCGGTAATCGGGTCTGCGACACCACAAAATACCGAGACGAAAGGCGAAATAAAACTTTATCGGGTGTGTGCGATTAGCAAATAGCACAAAAAAAATAATTGGGCGTAATTCTGGGGTAAAACGATACTTTGACAGACAATATCTGTATCGTGCGAATAACCATGTGAGCATGAAAAAACCTACTATTTTGATATTACAAACAGACACTTTAATTTTATTTATTTGTATAGATGTGTATATATAGCGATATATCAATGCTACAAACGGTCATAACCCATTGGAGGACCCAGCGCCCCCTTCAGAGCTTAGAACGTGTTGTCACATTGATACTATTAACAAGACAATAATCTAGTTATAAGGAAACCATAGCGCGATTCAGAAATTCGTTACAACGCCATCTATTGTATCATTATAACGCGACCACAAAAATTTAGTGGTTAATTACTGCACGGATGGCGTAGTGGTTTAAGCGGTCGCCACGCCGCTTCCTACTACGCCGAGTGTTGTGGGTTCAAACCCCACATGGGACGACACTTCGTGTGATCCACAAATTGTTGTTCTGAGTCTGGGTGTTCTTTGTGTCCGTTTCATGTATGTTTGTAAAGTCCCCCGCGACACAGGATTTATTCCTAATGCGGGCGTTGTCTTTTTAAAAATAGAGAGAATAGAGAGATAGAGAGAATTAGTCGAAATTTGTCGTCAAATATCAGAATTAGTCGGTTACAGGTTCAAAGTTATAAGTGTTTAACTGTGTTTATAAGTGGCCCTGCTGGGGTCAGTCTCCCCAGCTTGGCCACGCTTGTATCTCAAAAACCAGGGCTCCTAGCGAAGTTCTGTTTTCTCCCTAATTTGATGATGGACGACAAAAATCCATGATGTGGCCAGTGTCAGTGGCACGTCGCAAGTGCGTTGCCAACCTTTGAGTCTCCCCCTAAGAATCGGGGGGAGGGGAGGGGGTTAAAATGTATAAATAAAACACGATGGTCTATAAAATATTTCATTTACATTGTTCTCTTACTAATATTGACGTAGCCTATACCGACACAAGTCATTTTGATCTTATTAGCCGGTGTTATACCCTCGTCGTCGGAGTCTTCATCGTCATTACTTCTAATCGCTTCCAGCTTGAACATAACACCAAAAAAGTCTTTCAGGTGTTGTAGGAAGGTTATTGTGTAGTCGGAGAGAGGGCCCACCTGTAGATATACATAATACAATTGTTTAGCTTTTTGACAACATTAATATAAAAATATAATAATAATTGTGTGTGAGATCACACGGCCGTCTGATCCCAAACTAGGCAGAGCCTGTACTATGGTAACCAGACCGCTGATAAACATACTTATATATTTTTAAATACATACATATTTTAGATAAATTACACCCAGACACAGAACAAATGACCGTGCTCATCACATAATATTTGTCCTGGGTGGGAATCGAACCCACGACCTCCGGCTTAGCAGTCACTAACCACTAGACCAAAAGGCCCGTCGAGAATTTAAACATTAAGAATATTATTGCCGAGATTTTTATTTAATCAAAGATTTTTATCGAGTTAATATACTTACATATACAGTTTATAAAGCTGTATACATATATGTATTTACTTATTAGTTGTTAAATATTAAACTACCGAGAAAAATGAGTAGTGTTGCAACATAAGGGTGCGCTGAACTATTCTGTATGTTTACATATTGTAAAAGTTGAAAATATAAATGTTATATTGAGCTTCGTGTGGCGTTTTAAATTAATTGTATTCACTAGCTGTTACCCGCGGCGTCACTCATGTAGTTTTATTTACCGCAGTACCTCTTTGTAAACAACATTTGCGGTATATTACCATCAGCATCATGAGACGTGAAAGCAAAATCATTCCATAGAGAAGCTCAATGAGCAACTATCTCTTCTCCACCTCTCGAGCCATGACTTAAGTGTCGTATAACAAAAAGGATATTGCTTATATTTAAACCTTCAACCGCCATACTACCACTGTATTATTATAATTACCTTTTTATTTTATTTTTTTGTTGACGGAGTGGAAAATCCCTTCGGATCTCCGGCTCCTTGGGGATATAGGAGCCAGGAGTATGTGGTGATTCCACTAAAAACCACTCCGACGGCCAGCCTTAGGCGCCCTGCTCTGGGAAGAACCCGGGCCATGTGATTTCAGGTTTCCCAGATCGACGCCGCACCTAGCTAGGTCCCATCTCAGGGAAAGCCAGTGGCTTCTCCCTGCCTCTCAGCCTATCCAGATGTTGCAGCCCGATCATATTTTCAGTGCGATCAGGCTGCCATCCTTTCCCCTACCGCAGCAATTAATCTGCCACCAGAGGTCCCCACTCTCTGGCGGCCCGCGGTCAAATCGGCTGCTCATTACGTCGTCGACGTCTTCTTCGCTCGGGATCGGCCCTCTCCCGATCCTGGTCAGCGGTCTCTTTCTGGAGCATTACAGCTTCACAGAAAGAGACCACTGCGCCCCAGCCCTCCTCAACCGCCAGCATGGCAGTAATGATTGCTGGCGGGGAATTATTATAATTACCTACGAACTACTAATTACATTTCTTAACTACGGGTAGGATACAATTTATATATGAGTAATTTTTATTTCGTTCCTGTAAATTAATCACAGGTTACTAAAAATAACTATTTACGTAAATAATTAATGAAACGAAATAAAACGGATTATGAACTACTATGAACTAGTCTTGTGCTTAACCGGACATCTGCAGGTTCGCACCGTACTAGTACAATTCGTACAACGTACTAGCACACCGTAATAGTACTATTAGTACAGTTTTAGTAGAAGTAGAAAACTTAAGCGTTTGTATTGATATTACTAACATTAATGAAACGGAATACCAAGTAATTAAAAAAAAAGTGTTACAGAATTTTGGCAGACCGCATTTTTTTAATTTTTAGTATAGATGGTTTTGTATTAGGCAGTTACTTTTCTTCGGTACAGGAATAATTACACAGTTCTTAATTATTTTTAATGTGTTATCCCTTTCTGAATCCCATAAACCCTAACAGTTTGACTTTTAAATACCAATTTTTAGATTACTTCACATTAAACTTTTAAGCATACTAATTGATTTCCCTTCATAGTTTACAAGCCAACGTATTGTAGTACACCTGTATCGCTGTCCCTTTTACTCTCACACTGTTTACCAATACGGAGCATTAATAGTACGTCGCACAACGAACGAACGTAGATACTAGTAGACAGAGTAAACAATAGATAGTTTTAGTAATGGCTTGAAGTTGACACTGTGTACTAATAGTCATCAACAGCCTTTAATAGTCCACTGCTGGACATAAGCCTCTCCTGAGAAAGGAGGTTTTGGCCTACTATACCACGCTGGCCAGACGGGTTGGTAAAGGGTTTGTGTCAAGTTTTCCTTCTCTCTGCAGTGCTGTTGTCATGCTTAGTTTTTTCCCTTAGTCGGCTCTTACGACACCCACGGGATGAATTGGGGTGGTGACACTCTGTATTAATCTTAATCCGTCACCACACGGACCGTACTAATAGTGCTATACTATTATGTCCGATTAATAGCTGCCTTTCGGAAACATTACTTTTGGTATACGATACCCAGTACTAGTACCTATCAGTACATCGTACGTGTACTACCGAATACTACTATGAACTAATATTCATATCATATTTAGGAGATGAATATACACGAATAATATAGAATTATATAGAGATGCATCAATGCGATAACTCGGTCATAACTCATTGGAGGACTTAGCGCCCTCTTACGAGTTTTGAAAGTATTATCACATTGATACTATAAAAAATACAATAATCCAGTTATACGAAAGCATATTAAACGAAACCATAGCGCGATTCAGAAACTCAGTACAACGCCATCTATTGAGTGTAGACATGTCTTTCATCACTGTAACGTGACACCGGTAATCGGGTGTGCGACACCACATAGTGAACCACACCACCATCATGAAAGACGAAATAAAGGTAAGGTAGCCTATATGTTGTCCGGATCTCTTGGTTATATTCATACAAAATTTTAATTAAATCTATTCAGTAGTTGTCGAGTTTATCCCGGACATACATACACACAAACAGACAAAAAAAAACTATATTTTGGACATCAATATAGTTCTTAAAACACGTAGCAAGTTCTACAAAATAATAGGTCTTTACCTATGAAATTGCCGTTTTGTATGCAATAAGTGAAAGTACTTATTCTTTCAAACTTTTTTATTTCTGTTATTCGAAGTAATCACCCATGCAATCGACGCATCTTTGCCAACGCATTGGCAGTTTATTGATGCCCTTCTTGTAAAAATCAGCTGGATGGGAGGCAACAAACTCTTCAAAGGCATTTTGTACTGCCTCTCGGGAATTGAATTTTTTACCCACTAAAAAGTTGTCTAAATTTAGGAAAAAGTAATAGTCGGTAGGTGCAAGGTCATTGCGGTCATTGCATTGCAGGAATTATATTCAACATGAAAAATTTACTGTTACGATTTTATTATATGTACGTAATAAACTTACTATGCATTCGCTAACATCCTTCTGTCCTAACGCCATCCACAGCGCCAGCAGCCACTGGAAGGAAGAGTCCAGCGCCCCCCCACGGTATATCTCATCCAGGAGTCGTTGCGCACATTCTTTGCCAACGTCTTCTGGTAGACTTATTTCCCCTGATCCGGGTTCTGCAGATTTCTGGAAGGGGGGTAAAATCATTACTTTTCCTTTGGTTTGGTACTTTTTAAAATTGAGGTATATCTAGAACATTCTTGGTTTGACACACAGATTGGTAAAATGGTGATAGTCCATTAGGGCTCGAGCAGCGTACAAGCGATGTCCTTAATAACGGACATACTAGCACACATCAAAACAATGTTGTGGTATATTTAATAGTGCCATTGTATCTACTTGTGAATTGCAAAAGAGTGGCCATGAGTTTGTTTGCCCTTTCTTCTCATAAGGCTCAACCCTTTGGAAACGGGCGGTTGTAGATCGGCACAGGCATATCATAGATTTTGTATGGGTTTGATTTTCGTTAAATTTATTTGCTTACTATTTGACAAAACAGAGATTGTTGCTTCTGTGTGTGTTGCTCTATGACTTTAGAGTCTACATGGAAGACGATTTCAAACGATTTTGGAAATTTTATGAAATAAAGAAAGTTTGAGTTTGATGTCGCGCGAACTCGGTCGCGGCGACACACGGCGACTTGAACGTTTAGAACTAAACGGCTCAATGCGCGTTCCCGCGACTGACGATTCGTGGTTGCGCGACTTGCGGCGACTGGAGACGTGGTTTGCACACCGCAACTTTTATACTATTTGTTTCATTACTAGATGACCCGGTGAGTTTCGAATCACCTACATCAATTTATCTATATATATAACAGTGTATCTTGTTAAATAGTATGTAAGATGTAATCAAATGTGCTTATATTAAATCTAAAGTAATTGAAAAATCTTTCTTCATGTTGTCTGAGATCATGATACATGTACTGAAATTCGCCAAAAAAAGAGCGTAGCATATTAATTGGATGAATATTAAATCTTCTCCGTCTGATGGCACGCATCCGTAAAACAGAATTTCCCAACCATAAAAGTTCTGATAATATATCCGATCTAAGTACCCTTCTTCACGAATATAAACAAAGTATGTTTAATACTAATCCTAAATAGGTAACTTAATTGTCAATTGCTATTATCGATAGTGTGGCGGATTGAGAATACGGAATGTCACCACCCCTATTCATCCCGTGGGTGTCGTAAGAGCCGACTAAGGGAGCAAACTACGCAGGACAACAGCACTGCAAAGAGAAGGAAAACATGACACAAACCCTATACCAACCCGTCTGGCCAGCGTGGTATAGTAGGCCAAAACCACCTTTCTAAGGAGAGGCCTATGTCCAGCAGTGGACTATTATAGGCTGTTGTTGATGATGATGATAGCAATTGTTACAAATAGTCGCTCAGCGCTAGTCGCCCACACGCTAGTCGCCCACACGCTACACTGTTCTTCGTAGCTGAAAGTCGCCGCGACCGAGGTCGACATCGCTGGCGCTGCACGGGGCGTTAAGTAAATCTAATAGTATTTTTTTTGGCCGAGCGTGTTCGTGTATTTTAATTTAAAAAAGTATTTTAGTAGCGCCTACTAGCCATGTTTAAAGAAGGTTACATGCTGTTTAATATGGCGTTACAACTTTAGAAGCAGAGTAGTCACAATAACTTTAAACAAAAAGCGCAGTCGTATCATTTCCAGACATGCGTTATCCAACTCACAACCAAATTTTCTTTAAAGCATCGTATCTTATCGTTTGAAATTAGTTTTAACTTATAGATGTCTGTTAGTTCTCTACTTACACAGCAAGATTGTATCTGAAATATATATATATATAATTAAAAAGGCAACTCCCGCAGTAGGAATACATTCCTGTGTCGCGGGGGACTTTACAAACATACATGAAACGGACACAAAGAACACCCAGACTCAGAACAACAATTTGTGGATCACACAAAGTGTCGTTCCATGTGGGGTTTGAACCCACAGCACTCGGCGCAGTAGGAAGCGGCGTGGCGACCGCTTAAACCACTACGCCATCCGTGCAGTCACAAACAATATTATCACAAACAACACAGTGTATATACTAACCGCTTCAGCACAGTAAAATGTTTTGTCATTAGTCTCAGCGACCAGGCTGATACCGAACCCGGGACTCTTGCCAGCGTTGGGGCCGCGGCACTGATCCGTGTTTATGTACACGTCCGGCAGGAAATTTAACATTACCTGGGAACAGATAAGTTTTCATTAATTTAATAAAAAACCATTTCAACACAATGAATGGACTTTATTAAAGAATTTCAGATAAAAGACATATTTTTATGATTTTTTGTTCTAACCTCTAAAAACAATACGCCATCTAACGAAGACACAGCGAACTACAGAGTTAATGATAATCCTGTATCGCGATATGAAAGTTTTCACGCCGATTGGCATATTATTTACAACGTCTCATCATCTATCGTTGAACCGCGGCTGGCTAGGCATGATCGCCTGGTGGGAGGATCCTCCCTTTGTGTTTGAGGGACATAACACCCTTTCCTACACACACTAAAACTCTCTCAATTTTATCCAGATCCATAAAACGGATACACATGCATATTTAGATAAAAAAAAGGTAATGTAAAATACATTTCCTTTCCATCCCATTTCCTACACGCCCACTACTATAACTCCTGTGTACCAGGATCAACAGCAGTAATCCTCAAACACACCAAGTTGTGACGCTCGGGAAACCCCAGGAAAAGTTAGTGTCTTGGAACTTGGAACGAAATTAATCATAAAGTCAATTGGGCGTAAATACGCAAAAAGGATCCAACCCACAGTATGGTAGAAAATAAGCCAACTGTTTAGATAATTATTTCCAATAAAACTTATTTCTATAAAAAGGACAACAATTTTTACAATGTGCCAAATCAACAAAATCACAAAATAGAATATCAATGAGCAATTTAAACTTCAATCTTCAGTATCTCAAAAGTGTCGTTTTGTGGGTTGGGTCCTCTTTGCGTATCTACGTCCAATTCTCGTAGTGAAATTCGTTCCAAATTCAGTTTCGAGGTATTCTCGTAGTAAAATATTACTAAGACTAGCAGAATACTCATTCAAGTTTCGGTCACAATGTGGAGGAACGGGTGTCATGTCCCTCCAACACAAAGGGAGGATCCTCCGACCAGGCTAGGTGATCATGCCTGGCGGGCCGCGGCCCAACGGTTGATGTTGGGAAGTTGTATATATGCTAATCTGCGAGGGAATTCTTTATATCGCGATACAGGATTAGCAATTCTTATTTTAGTAGTTACTCCGTAGTTCGGTGTGTCTTCATTAGATGGCGCTTAGTATGGTTTTATGTGTCGAGTCGCCACATCACTCCCCTCCAAGACCGGAAGTCGATATATGATGAGTCAGCTGTCTATGCCACAACAATACGATATAGTCACATTACAGTTCACGTTGACTGTTTAATACTCTTCTACCAGAATACGTTTTATGACATTTGTGAGATCCAGAGTAGATGGAAACTGAATTTGGAACAAATATTTATTACGAGTTAACTTCAGAAGTAAATTAGAGTTGGAAATATAACAAATCCACTTCCCTCCTTAGTTCCCCTATAGTTTGTTTATTATAAATACACATATTAACACATAAACATTCTTGGATTGAGCGTGAATCGAACCCGTGACCCCGACGTAGAAGTGGAATACACTATCACTGCGTCAGTTGTTAGTCAGCGTGCAGTTCTTTCATTACATTTAAAAAGAGAGGTGATCATTACGACTGGATTATATTTTGAGGTTTAAGATAGGAGAATTAAAGTTCAATTTACCGGATAGAGGAAGTTGAAGAACTTACCCCTTTAGCAGCATCAACTACCCTATTTGCCATAGTGGGTGACACCCGCAGTGCATATACAATTCCTCGGATCCTCTTGACCAGGCCCCACTTTGTCCATTGTAGTGGCCGCAAGTGTCGTTTGACTGGGCATTTGAATACTACTTCACCACCGCCCAGAGGTGCAGCACCTTTGACACATGAATAAAAAATATAAAAATTAACATATATTTAGGACTTATTAGATGCAGAAAATTCTAGTAGGTTTCGATGGATAAAAATAAAGTACATTAATGAACTCCATTTAACTATTTGATTAATACTAGCTGCGCCCTGCGGTGTTACCCGCGGATAACTAAATATATTTTGATTCCATGCTCAACCCAAACTTAACAACGTAATTTTTTCGACATAAAAAGTAGCCTATCAAAATTGGTGCAACCGTTTAAGAGTGGAGAACACACTCCATACTTTCATTTTTATAATAGTGTAATTTAATCTCAAGAGGTTATTGGAACGAAGTTTCTTATCGCGCGTTACTCGCTCTTGGCGGATGGGAGCGAGTCCGAAATATGTGTAACAAGACTTTTTTTCAGACACTTCTTGCTAAAATTGCAGTCGTATGTGAATTATATATATCGCCGCACACTCTCTTCTCTGCGGCTTTAACAGTGTGTTAGTGTTTGGCTATACCTCAAATGTAAATTTGTATTTTTCTATCCCCAAACTAGAAAATATTTAAGAGTGGTAGTCAGTATAAACAACAAAGTCAAGCAGTAAACTTGTGAGTTTGTTCATATTTTTTTGTGTATTTTTTCGTGAAAATGAAGGCTTCCAGAGAAATGAGAAAATCTCTTAACATACGTAAGTCGAGAACAAAAAAGCGCAAAAATGTTTTTAGTCCAAAAACAGCTGAAACGGATGAAAGTAGTCTCAGTGCTTCGGCGAAAAAATTTAAAGAACAAGAGGAAATCTCAGTTCCACGTGATCCGTCTATTATATTTATATGGTCCTGGAATAGACAACTCCATGTAAGTTAAAAAAAAAAAATTATCCCATGTAAAGTGCATTCCAAACTTTACACGCGTTTTTCTCAAAATGGTGTTTTCAAAGTCGGTGACCAACATTACTCGAAAACGGCTAAACCGATTAGTCTCAAATTTTAACACGACTTTCTTAAATATATTTTTTTGTAATTGATCGAAGATTTTTTCTCTCCGATAAATATTTTTTTTTTTATAAACAATTTAAAGCCGAAAGAACAATGGCAGAAACATATTTACCTAAAACTGAAGCGTTTAAAAAATTGACTAACAGTAACCTTTCTAAATTTTTTTTTATGATTTATCATTATACCGCCATGTGTTGTATAAGTCTAATAAGAGATTGGATATTTTTAAAGATTTTATTTGACTTAAGTACGTAATGTCAGAATCGCCATCACGAACTGACTAGGGATGCGTGATGACATTATTATATTATGGAACGTTTTATCGATAATCCATTGTTATAACTTTTGCTTAAATATCTATCGAAGGTTCACCTATTATGATTATGAATTTGCTTCTGCCCACGGGTTTACTCATACGCTACCGTAACTAGTACTGTAGTGACTAAATCAACCTAATTAGAAATAATTTAGAATATTTTTGACTCTTTTTAAAAGATTTTTGCTACACCAAAATAAATAGAATATAGTTACGTTATTTTCCTTCAGAAAAATACTAAAACAATATACTGCTTAGTGTGATGAGAAAAGACATTGTAGGTTGATAACGGCATATAAATAGACATGCATCGATATTTTTCAAATGTCGATACGTCGTCGTCGCACTTACTATAACCCGGCAATCTCGTGCGCGACCATCCCGCGGGGTGACAGACAGTGGCGGGGGCGAGGTAGCGCGTCATTCTAGCACACGGCCACACACGATTCCCTTCCCCGCTACCCGCTGACATCGTGAGTACCTCGTCCCCGCCACCGTCTGTCACCCCGCAGGACGGTCGCGCACGACGTTGACGGACTATAGTGTTGTCGTTTGACACTTACACGCATGACTTACATACCATTTCTCACAAGGCAATTTTGTAGTTTATTTGGTTGTTTTACTTTTGTTTGGTATTAAACTCTCATATATGTTTATTTTAATTTTATATAGTGTTACTCCATTATGCATGATGTGATGCCTTAAAATGTTGTGCATTAATCTCAATATAATGGATGCATGCTTTAGATTTTAGTAAATAATGTCACAACTACTGACTGTTGAATAACTAAAGTAATTAAATAAATGCTCCCCCCTTGTGTAAATGTGTATTGAAGTACATTTATTCAAATTATTATTAATAATTTATGTATTTATGGCTAGTATTACACCTGCTATGTAAGCGAAGATTTTTTTCTATTGTTTACCAATACATGCCAAGCAAATACCCTTCCTTCCTTCACCCATTTAGAGAGTCGGCTAACACTTTCTACAGCAAAATAGGGTTGCTTATAAGTAATAATAATGATGAATAATATGTTCGAATATATGACACACAACGCCATCTAGTTTCAAACAAAACATTTACAATATTTTAGTACTTAACCTCGAAACATTCAAAATCCAATATCTTTTTTCCTAGACTTCTTTCGCTAGTAATTTTTTTATGAGAATGTTCAACAATAAATTCTCAAGGGTTATAGGCATTTTTGATATTTAAACGCTGTCATTTCACTTCAAATAAAATTATGTATGGGGACCTGCCATTGTCCTTTCGGTGAAGAATCGATTATTTTTTGAGAAACCGCCATTTTGTCAAAAAAATGTATTTTGCTTATTCCTTCGATTAATTACTAGATTTAACATTATTTTAACGAAATCTGTTTGGTTTTTTAATTTCATATGATCCAGTTTCGAGATATAGTGGTCACCGCAAAACGTCTTTTTTGAGAGGAGCTCCTGGAGATCAGCTGTAGCTCTTTTTCAAATAAATATTTTTACTAGTACTAAGTCTTAAAATACAGTTAAAAGATACCATAATATGTGTATAAATTTTTGGATCAATAAATTTAAAAGTTTTCTCAGAAAAAAATCTGGAAAATTCACTTTTTTTCGGCCGTCTAACTGTATATAACCCCTTAATGCTTCTAATACCTGGTAGCTGACAAGAATCGAAATTAAATCGATCGACTTAAATTTAATTAATGTAACTACAATATCGCATTGGAAAAATTCTGTAAAGATATTGTAAGAAAAAATAAAACATAAATAAATAAATAAAAAAAAATTGCCTGATTAGTACAATAAAATTCATCTCACCTCTTCTGACAACTTTAAGCTCCAACCCATCATCCACCAATATAAACTTCAGCAGTACAGGTAGGGCAGCTGTCTTAATTTTATCTACGGACACATCCAGTCCACTATGGGTAACACCCTGTAGCACTGCATTCATTGGCTCTTTACAGAATGGACCCAAGGCCAACAAGACTTCTAAGTAATAACCTGGAAGATAAAGAATATTTAAATATTTGTTTCATATTAAGTTGCCACTGTGTAACATTATTTTGATTCCTGCAATTATTTTTTTTAAGTGAAATTTTCTTTAGTTGCGTTGGGCATTTTTGATCAACAAACAAAACACATTTTTTGAAATGGGAAAAAACAATTGAACTAGAGTGACTGTCACCGTTACCGACACCTCTCGGCAGTAGGAAGCGGCGAGGCAACTGCTTAAACCAATATTCCATCCATGCAGATCATGAGTTTTTTTTAAAGATAGATAAAAAGCATTAATGATAGTTAATGGTAAAGCCAACCTGGGCTTCAATAGGACGACGACCGAATGGCGTAGTGGTTTGTTTAACGGACTGCTATTCCAAAGGTCGCGGGTTCGATTCCCGCTCAAGTCAAATATTTGTGTGCATGAACATTTAATGTTTGATTTGGTCTGGGTGTTTCTATGTATAATAAGTATGTATTTACAAAAAAAAAAAAAGTATATATGTATTTATATCAGTTGTCTAGTACCCATAGTACAAGCTCTGCTTAGTTTGGGACTAGATGGCGTTGTGTGAATGTGGTACAATATTATATTATTATATTATATTATATTATATAATCCCTTCCACACGACCACTATTGTAACTCCTGTACATCAGTCCCAGGAAAAAATTTAACTGTTTTTGAACCACTAACAAAATGAATCAGACGAAAATGTTAGGAGTTACAAATATAATAAATCTACTTCCCTCCATACCGAAGCGGGTGACAAAATGACAAATATACTAAAAACCTAATACTTTTATAAAATTTGGCAGAAAGGATTAACCTAATTTTATAACTTCTAAAACCACTGACTCACATGTCACCATGGCATGGTCAGAAACACTGAGTTTCTGTGGTTTCTGTTTATGAACTATGAATTTATTCCTTAAGTGAACTTGATGGTGTATTTATTTATGATTATTGGTTTACACAGTCTAACAGGGATTCTCAAATTATTTTGAGCAAGAAAACACTTTTCTAAAATGAACAGATACCTTAGACCCCATAGAAAAATTACTGTATGCTTATAGACTTATTATAGTAATAATAATAATAAAGCCTTTATTTCCGAAATAATTTCATGTTACATATTTTTGTGTCTTAGTAAAAAATTTGAAATAAAAGTATATAAAAGAGTTTGTAAAAGAATGTAAAACTTATAAACTAAAACTACACTTTCATTATAAGATGTCTCTTGGTTCGGTTTGCCTTACGGCAAAGGCCTCCTCCAAGTCTCTCCATTGCATTCTGTCTGCCGCTACTCTCATCCAAAGTGGTCCTAAGGTCATTTTCGACTTATTAAGTTCTTTAAAAATACAACAATGATAGTTCCTACTAAAATATTGGTCACTGGGAATCCCTGGTCTAGTGGTTACTGATCCTGACTGCTAAGTTAGAGGTTGTGGAGTTGATTCCCATGAAGGACATACTCGTATATATCTTATTAAAGAATTTTTATTATTAATTTTATTATTATTATATGTGTAATGAACACATCCATTTTGTACTGTGTCTGGTTGTAAATTATCTATAATAAAGTATGTATTTAGAAATATACAGGGTGTAAGGGACATCGTAACAAATACTGAAATAGTGTATTCAGATCATAATTCTGTTTTTTTTATAATGTTTCATTTTTTTGGTTAAAAATGACATCGCAATGAGTAAACAGAACATTTCACCAAAAACAAATTAATAAATACTACTACTACTAAAATAATAAATTTTGTCATGTCCCTCACTGAAGTATCTCAAATGATATTTCTCAAAGGCTGACCTGTAGATAGTGTGGCATTATGACTGTCACGTGCAATTCTGTAGGGAGTTTTAAATAAAATAAGCTAAAATAAAGACCATACTAACCTATTCCTCTTTGAGTACTACAGCTGTGAGTAACTTGCCCACCAATCAATATCCCGGGCTGGAAATACACCGACGTGCCTGTCGGACTTAGTTCTACCCTTGTTCCATTAGTCACCTTGTCCAGTAACCGTATCAAGCTCACTTCATACTCCCGAAGACCTGGGTCATCGTGTGTACTTCGAATATCCTCTATCTTAACAGAACGGCCACTAAGTGTGGCTAACAATAATCTTTGGCGGAAGAAATTACTGCCCTTGTATTTAAGGACATCAGTATGTACTGTAGCTGGCATTGTAGCAAAATATTTTAATTGTTAAAATTGTAAACATAAGCACAATAAACACGTGCATGTGACAGAATAAGGTGACAGGTGGCTGTCAAGTCAATGGCATGGCACAGTTGATTTTTGAAATCGATTACGTTTCGTTTCGATGTAACTTTATGATAAAGAGTGGAGATTGATTTTGATAAACAAAAATCGTTTCTAGTTCTTCGTTGTTTGGTTTTGTCCAATTAGTACTTTGTTTAACAGCTGAAACATGTGAAACTTGTATGTCATATTCATGAACTTAAAGAATTTGTGAAAATGACTACAAAAATAAAGTCTCCAGTAAAATGTATACGTTGACTTGTAGATATTTCAGTCGTTCTAAAATGTATATTTGGTAACAAAACCCTTTATACCAGATTCTTCTTTTTTATTAATACTCTATGGACCCGCCCACAGTGTAACTGTCAATGTTGTCATAACAAACGTGGTTATATTTTGTAAGAAAGCAATAATACAAAATAGGTACCTATTGTATAAAATATACACATTAGAAAACACCTTAAACATGAAAGTTGCAGTAGGGGAGGTTGTCCTACCAGGTGATCAATGTGAAGAAATTTCTCTTGTTGGAGAGAAAAGTAAAGTTATACTCGGTCCAGGACTACGAAAAGAAGTCGATGGCATTACAATCACGAAAGCTGGAACTTTGAAGAAGCGATCACCAAATACGTATTGGGTGGACAATTATCAGAAGCGATACATTCCTTCTCGTGGGGAGAACGTTATAGGAGTTGTAGTTCAAAAAGCGGGTGATATATTCCGTGTCGATGTCGGCGGCAGTTGCTCCGCTTCACTCTCCTACCTCTCTTTCGAAGGTGCCACAAAGAAAAACAGGCCAAAAGTTAACATTGGTGACGTGGTTTACGCTAAAATGCTCGTTGCTAGTAAAGATATGGAGCCTGAATTAGTATGCGTAGATTCACATGGAAAAAAGGGACGGCTAGGTGTTCTAGAAGAAGGTTTTGTCTTTAAATGCTCCCTAAATCTAGTTAGAAAGATTTTGAATCCTGAATGTCCACTATTGAACTCTTTAAAAAATGAATGGCCCTTTGAGTTAGCTGCTGGCTTGAACGGCAGGATTTGGATAAAAGCTAAAACTATGAGGGAAACTATTGCTGTAGGAAATGCTCTCTTAGGTTGTGAGTATCTTAATACAGATGAAATCAAAAGTATGTGTACCAATATTGCAAGTATACTGGCTGGACATGTTTCATAGATAGTAATAAAATTATTTCTAAGTTTAAATAAGTTTTTTTAATAAAAATGCGGTACCTAAAATCACAACCCTTCCTATCCTTTTTTGTTTAACCCTGGGAGTATGGTCTCAGCAGTGTAAATCCCATGGCTCAACAAATCTAAATCTTTTTACACTGAATATGCACCATGGCACATCAGAAACTGACTACAATTTGACTACTTTCTCTTAAGAGATTGTCATATGATACTTGAATAGATGTCATTGAATACATTTTAAATCAAACTATGTAATTAGTTAAAGAGCACATTTGGGCTGCCTTAAAAAATTCTTTATTATTGTATTATCATCAACAGCCTTCAATTGTCCACAGCTCCTCCAGCATAGGCCTCTCCTTAGAAAGGAGGTTCTTGCCTTCATACTTCAATCAATTACTTATAGACAGCTTTGGTTTTAACTTATATCAATTTTTTCTCTCTCGTATGTAGCATAGTGGCATAAGCGGTCGCCACGCTGCTCACTACTACACTGAGTTTTGTGGGTCCTATCTCCACATGGAATGACAGTTGGTGTGATCCACCAATTATTGTTCTGAGTCTGGGTGTTTTTTGTGTCCGTGTCATGTATGTATGTAAAGTCACCCGCGACACAGTATATATTCCTAATGCGGGAGTTGTCTTTTTCAAGTCTGAGTATGGGTATTCTTTGTCTCTGTTTCCTATATGTTTGTCCCATGCGAGACAGGATACATCCGTTGTGCGAGAGTTGGTCTTTTAAAAAAAAAAAGAAGTATAAAGGCAAACCAAAACATACTAGTGATCTTTACAAAATGACACATGAGGACATGATATATTTTGTATCAAGATCAGCTTCTTTTATGCATATAAATAAATACCTTTTTTCATATTCCATGCAGTCAAAAAAATAAAACAACAAAAAACAGTGATGGGGAAATTTATTTTGGCAAATGCAACTAACCTAATCGTTTGAATCTCAATACATAATGTAAAACTACATCCATCTGCAACCAACCATTGTTCTGTCTAATAAATAGATGTATTTATATTACAAACGGCACGGGCGGTCCGCACTCAGCGCATTTTATTTACAACAACTATCCTACTAGGAGTCGAGTGACCAGAACAATTTTCATTATAATAATAATTTAGTTAAAAATAAAATAATGGGATGTTATTTTTTTTTTCATTTTGTATGATAATTTTCACCTAATAGATGCTTATCATGAATGCTTTTGTAGCGAGTTTTGACTTGAATTCTATAATAGTTTTAACTTTAGAATCTCGAACATGGAGTTTTTGGCATCGAAAAAATCTTTCCATAACAATTTTCTGGCCTGCAACCATTCTAAATAAGTAAAAAACACATTAAATTTTTAAAACCCGCTACATAGTGCAAACATGGTCAGTATTAAATCAGCCTAGACTAATAATAAGCCTCTTAGCAATGTTATAAGAAAAGTGGTAACTTTTAAAAATATACAAACAGATGCACTTAGCTTGAATAGTTAACTATCAAGTTTAAAACCTCAACAACCTACTAAAAGGAATGTTATATTCTTTTATTTACAAAATGTCTAGTGTTTGTGGTTTCGAGCAAATTGGAACTTTATAAAAATAGATATTTTGAAAAACAATTATTTTTTTAGATTTTTCTCATATACAGAAATGTGCGCCAGTATATGTAGTTGTAGTAGACAGACAATTATATATGCTAGTTCAACTCGTGTGAGAAGGGTTCTTTACGATGAATATTATATGTATGTGTATGTACTAATAATTTATCCCAAATCATACTTTCCCTCCTATATATTTTTCAATATTTTAGGCTTAGTCGTTTCGGAGATGAGAAGGGAATGATCAAATTTCAAGTAGATTCAGAACAAATTTATTGTGATAAACGTGAAGTTCACACGGAAGGACAGAACTCTAAAAACTTTATCTTTGATACTTGAAAGGAAAATTCTGTGTATTTAACAGTAAAAGACGAATTAAAGACTCCCAATTTCTCGAAAACCACTGTTAAAATTTTGACTTCTACATTAAATAAACTATTGTAAAATATTAAATAAATTCGTACGAAGTACCACAGAGGGAACTATTAGAGAACTTTTTAATATGAAATCCTGTAAATATAACACATTAGGTATGAAAGATGTCAACTCTTATATTTATATTAAGACTCAATACTTCGTTTATTAAATGCACTGATTTTTTATTTCAAACGTAACTTTACAACCTATACTGTTTGTGAAGAAACGGAGATTTCAAACCATTATTGAATATACAACATGAAACTTTGAAAGTTCTTAGATGCTTTAAATTTTAAAGATTTGTTTTTAAGTTTAAAACAATGTTAAAAAAGTTATATCATCACCTGGTGGTAAACACATTACTTGTGAATAGAATAGGTATGAAAAAGTCAAGAGGAGGTTCAAATTGGTTAGAATAAGTGGCGTAAGTTGGAAAGTTGAGACACTCTGAAAATAAAAAGTTATTTTCTGAAGTGCTAAAGAACACCATAACAATTATCAGTGCGTGAATATCATCACATCAATTTAAGAAAAGTTACGTTTGTGTAATATAATTGTGTTGTAGGAGTAAAATTGGTCACAGTTTTATTTAATTCGGACTCAGTAGTGACTAATAAAAATCAGTGCATTAATATAACAATCACAGCAAAATCGTAACACTGTACAAATATTTACAATCTATCAACAAAGCAGTCATTTTTCCTTTTTTTCCTCTTTTTTTTTCATCGTTTAATTATTTAATTAATTTTAATTACGAAAATATAATTTATTCTATCGGTTAATTGGAGATCAAGATTTACTTACAAGAGACGTAGATATTAACATAATTTACAATTTATTATTATTCATAACACTAAGTAGCAAGAACCCGTTTGTTATGTTATACTGAAAAATATAACAATCATTGTTACAAATCGTTTACAATATGGGGATAACAATTTATTTAATTAATTGTCAAGTTGTCTTTTATTTCAGTAGTAAACATTCTTCATAAAATTATTATATTTATTTTATGCATTAGTCTTTGATGTTATTTTTAATTGTATGCTTTAGATCTTATTTATATTACAATGTCCACGTTAAAAAATATTTACACAACAATACTATTTCGAATAAATTAATACATAAAAATTCGGTACTGAAGTCTTGTTTAAAATTAAATAAATAACTTAAAAATTAATCAAAAGAAAACTTCACACCCAATTCGTTGCTAAAACTTATCTTAACAAAGCTTAATAACAAACAATTTTAATTATAATTTCGTAAATATTGCGTCGACATTTCATTTTCTCGTATAGCTTTTTACAATATTGCGTAACATAACTATACCATACCGCACCTGTGGATTACGCCATCACTCAATTTTATAGTATATTCATTATACAGCTGTTCTCAAATTCTGTATCTAATATATAAAATTCTCGTGTCACGGTGAGCGTGGTTGAACTCGTCCGAAACGGCTCGATCACACACACCTATCGGGTAGGTCTGAGAATCGGCACTTAATTATTATTTTTTACAATTTTTTTTTAAATAATGTAATGTCAAAACAACGTTTGCCGGATCAGCTAGTATATATATAAAAGGCTGCCTAGTTCTTCTTTTAAAATCTTTTTCTTATGTAAAGTGTAAAAGTCGTTCATAAACGTATACAATTTAAGCGATATTACAACAGTTCAGTTGTGTTGGCGAGCGCGTAAGGCGTTGTGATTGGTGGAGTTTTCAGTGCGGACCAATCACAATGCCGAAAGCGGTCACCGTGACGATCGATTAGAAGTGAAATAATGTCACACTTGGGCCTCTGATGGGAAGTGACTACAGCCGCTTATATACAATTGCAATTCAAAGGTCGTTCCCATCCTTCGGTTTCCTTAGAAGGGGAGAGTTTGGGCTCCGGTGACCTCACTCATTCGGTGAAAGGCAACGAAAAAATTGCTTAACATTGCGATTTAATAAATATATGCATATAGTTATATACGTACATGTATATCTATACAAATAAATAAAATTGGAGTGTCTGTTTGTAATATTAAAATAACCGCTTTTTACTAAATGCATATGTATGTTTACACGGTACATATGCCAAAATAACATTTTTTACAATTTTTGTCTGTCTGTCTGTTTGTTCCGGGTAATCTCTGGAACGGCTGGACCGATTTCGACGGGATTTTCACTGGCAGATAGCTGATGACATAAGGAGTAACTTAGGCTACTTTTTTTAGACTATCATCGCCCGCGGCGTTGCCCGCGGTTATAACAACAAACGCGGGTAACACCGCGGGTCTTAGCTAGTATATATATATATATATAGTCGGACAAATAATTCTGTGATGAGCACGATAATATGTTCTGTGTCTGGGTGTAATTTATCTATAATATGTATGTATTTAAAAATATATAAGTATGTTTATCAGCGGTCTGGTTACCATAGTACAGGTCTCTGTCTAGTTTGGGATCAGACGGCCGTGTGTGAAGTTATTATTATTATTATAGTTTAATTACGTGTGCATTTCGGAGAGATCCAACCAGATTCGAACTCCACGGGGCTCTTATTCACAATTGTGGGTGACGTCAGACATCGGCACGGCAGGACGCTTCGCTCCTTGGTAAAGAGCCCCCTAGAAGGATTGAAATGCCCGAAATTTACACATGAGTAAAACTGTATATTTTTAATAAGTAACATTATCATTAACGTAGGTAATTTTAATTGTGAGTGATGACGTAATAATGGGTCTGTAAACTAAATATAGAATTTTTATCCTGGAGCATGGTCTATCTATGTTTATTCTAAAATGGAAATGCGTATAATTCGTTTTTTTTTATTATTTCAATTCTATTATATGTAAGGCTGACTTTCAAATACATCAAAACTATATTCTATTGATATTTTCTTTTTGTTTATTCATTGTTTTTATGGATTACTTTTATAGAAACAAATATTTACTGGAGAGATAACCATTTGTATGTAAACATAATTTTAATATAGAAACTTGGATCATAAAACAGCTTAATTTTGGGATGTGATATTTTATATTTATAAGTATATCCTCAGTGAATTTAAAAACGAATATTGAAATGCCTCATCTAGCTGGTTTGATTTGTATTTACGTCCTGTAACTGACTGATATCGCGTTTGTGTACAATGCGATTAATGTACCTATCAACTTTTGGGATGTATAATTGCGTTAAAGACTTTTACAACACATTTATTTTTAGCTGTAAGTTTGCCTGAAAAAGTAAAAAAAATAAATGCGTAAGATGTTTATAGAAGCTAGACAAGTCGTTCGAGTACTTTTCTATATTATAAAGGATCTTTGTACGCCAGTATTGGTTTATATGATGTTAGGTTAAATAAATTTCTCTTACAGATATGACACCTGTAAGAGATTATTTGGTTTCGATAGTCAACCTTATTACTTCAGTTTCGTTATGAATCGATTCATAAAGATATCGAATATTATGTTTATCTGTATAAAATAATCACAAAATTTGTTATAAATTTTGGACATTTTTACCAATATTTAAACACGACATGGAATCGAAACTTGTAGTTTCCGATTCAATTGGATTTTAGAATTTTTAAGAAATTAGTCACATTTAGACTTAAGTTACTCGACGTTTCAACATCGCGTTTTATACTAAAAAGAAGGATCGTTTCGACGTTCAGAGGGAGAGTCGTAACGTGTCGCTCAGAAGACGGAGTCGGCGGAGCGAGACAGGTGCACGGGGTGCGAGGGAGAGCGCGCGAGGCGCTTGCGCGGCAGCTTCTGCAGCGTGCTCAGCAGCGCCGGGAAGTCGGGCCGCTCGTGCGAGCGGTACGACCAGCACAGCATCAGGATGTCCTGCATACCACACACACGTCACTTACGCCTTAATTACGTTTACTCAGTTAGCAGGTAACCGACGAGTTCTTAATCTAACAATAAGATTATAATATATCAGGTATAACAAATCGCCTGACAATTTGACTTATTAATTTATAAACTTAACAAATTGACTTATTAATTTATTTTATTTATCATATAATTAACTCATATATATTTTACCATAACTATATTAGAGATTTTCAACATAAATAATAATATTAAATGTATAAGTATGGAGTGTAGAGGCAAGGAGAACCACCTCATATGGGGGGAAAATTAAAATGTCGAGCTGTATACTGAAAATAATGGTCGCTGGTGTACGCAAAACTACGACATGAACATAGCTGATGTAGACGGAGTGAAGTATGCCGAGTTCAATGACTAGAATAATTAGTAAAATGTCAGTATAAAATAAATAAATAAAAGCCTTTATTCACTGACCATAATACACATTTTAACTTATATACTACTTACAAAACAATTTTCTCAAATTTTTGATAAAATATTTTCTCTAGAAAAAATGACAGTATTTAGAACCTTAACTATTTATGTGATTTTATTAGTACATCTTATTCTAATTACTTTGGCGCTTTCTTTAATTTTTGACGAAATGGTTCTCCTTGCCTCTATCTTCCATAAATTAGCAACCTTACTCTTTAATTAGTACTAAGTAAAGAGCGAAAGAAAATGTTTTCTTTCTTAGAAATAAGTACAGTCCATTACCTTGATGTCTCTAGACGCCTGCATGCTGGCAAGCGACTGCTTGACGCCCTTGCCCACTTGCCAGATCACAGCCTCCGGCGGCTGGCTCTTGAACGGGTACTCGCCGCACAGCAGTTCGTACCACACCGTGCTGTAATCACAAGATAATGATTATATTTTATTACAAGATGTTTTATTTTATAATTATTTGGAAAACCAAAGCGATACATATTTTCGGTTTGATACTATTTTGTAACAGATTTTCCTGGTTAACTAAAATCACATTTTTAATTATTATAACAATTTCGTATGCAATGATTCTCGAAAATACTATGACTTGGGTTGATAATGTGCAGTACTCAACCTCTGTCATTTAATTGTGTAGAGTTTAACGATAGGTAAATTTGGAATAGGATTTTCCGTGTGGTAACGGATTAAGAATACAGAGTGTCGCCACCCCTATTCATCCCGTGGGTGTCGTAAGAGCCGACTAAGGGAAAAAACTACGCAGAACAACAGCACTGCAGAGAGAAGGAAAACTTGACACAAACCCTGTACCAACCCGTCTGGCCAGCGTGGTATAGTAGGCCAAAACCTCCTTTCTAAGGAGAGGCTTATGTCCAGCAGTGGACTATTAAAGGCTGTTGATGATGATGATTGATGAACGGATTAAGAATAGTGTCACCACCCCCATTCATCTCGTGGGTGTCGTAAGAGCCGACTAAAGGAGCAAACTACGCAGAACAACAGCACTGCAAAGAGAATGAATCCGTATGGACTGCGTGGTAAAACAACAAAAGTTTGCTTTACACTGGCTCGAAAATGTTTTACCAATACCAATAATTGACCTGTATTTTTTACTTTTATATGCACAAATATATCGCTCATAACTAAACCCTGACTAACTAACTATCCCTGGGTCGCAATTCCCAGGCGCTGTCGAAGTCGCATGTGTTGCTCCCATCAATCACACGAAGGACCCGGCACCCGAACGGTGATCCATGGAACGCTAAGAAATAGGTCTAGTATATAGCTCATATCGCATGTTTGTATGTGTTATAACTTTTGTGTGTTTTAACGTTATAGATTCATCTATTTATATGACAGATGCAATATTATATGTAAAACAACATTTATAATAGTTACCCAAATGCATAGACATCGGTGGCTTTAGAGAAGGGCAGTATGAGGCTGGCGTGTGGCGTGAGCGCCCGGCACAGCTCCGGCGCGAGGTAGCACAGCCAGCCCGCCGGGATGCCCAGGCTGTCGCCGCGGAGACTGGAGAACACACCAATACATATATATATTTTAGCTACATCATCATCATCATCTAAAATCCTTCTTTTTTTTTAAATATGGCATAATATTTATCCAAATATAACAAATTAAATGTGTTTTTAAAGTAAACGCCAAAAAAATTTTTTTATGTTAGAGGGGGCAGACGAGCAGACGGGTCACCTGATGGAAAGTGACTATAGCCGCCCATAAACGTCTGCAACTCAGGAGTCACAAACGCGTTGCTGGCCTTTTATAAATGCATTTAAAAGTGGGCTTACGAAATATGTATGTACATGGTAGCCTTCAAAACGCTAAGAGTTGAATATTGTATTAGTTATACAAGTTAATTACTATGTATCACATTATAAATGAACTGTAAGTTCCTATGAGAATAAATTCTTTATACCCTAATGTTAAAACTATATTTACTTTGTGTTGTGTGTACTTGTCTTTGTACAAGTGTACTCGTATGCGTTGTTCGCCACGCGAGCCGTATGTGTGCGTGCCTGCACCTGCACCTACCTACTTGCTTTTCGTATGAACTGTTTAACACGCTTTATATTAGCTTCATTTGTATGTTTGTTTGTAACCGACTCCTTTGGGCGTGATTTTGACTAACTTTAAACGGTCACAATTCGTTCAAACTTTGTAGATATATCGAGGACCTATGACAATACACTAATAAAAAAAAACATTGTTTTAAAAAACTAAAAAACACGCTTTTTATAGAAAACCAAACTCTGTGTAACGTATTTTAGTTTTTAAAAACAATTTTTTTTTTATAAGTTAGTAATAAATGTGCCTCCGCGCTAAACTGTTGTTTATTCTTCTATTACCTGGTCAAGTACATATTACTTCGTCATTCCTCTCTCTAATGGGCCTGACTATCTTGTGGAGGCTTACAGCATCTTTCTTTCTCATTTTCACAGGCTACACAACATGCTATTTCTTCGTATTTTGTACCATTTCTGACTCAATAATAGATCATAAGAAGAATTACACTCACTTATTCCCGAAGCAAAGTTTTGTGACGCTAAACAGTCCAAAGTCAGTGATGACAACCTTCCCGTTCTCCAAGAATATGTTTTTCGTTTTCAAGTCCTTGTGGATGATACCGCGCGCGTGCAAGTAGCCCATACCCTGGAAACATAAATATTTATCAATGTAGAAATGTATAAGAAATTATGTCAACTATGTGTGAAAAAGAAAAGAAAATTAAGTTGATTAGTGTCAATAACAGTAATAATTGTGGTAATAGTAGGCCAGAATCTCCTTTCTAAGGAGAGGCTTATGTATAGCAGTGGACTACTAAAGGCTGTTGATAACAGTAAGTTATTTTTTTAGCGTCAGTAAAAATCAATTGGAACGGTTGGTTGTCAAGTTTTTATTATAATGCTTTCATGATCTCCTGCCCTTTTCCGAATATACTTGGATTTGGCGCAATGAGTTTTCTTCGTGCATTGTCCTCTATCATTATCAGAGCCCTACTTGGTCCCTTTCTAGCCATATTCTTTTTTACGTATATTTTATATACGTAGGAATGCAATAATGCCAACTCTATGAGTGCGAGGGAGAGACTTTGTGTGAGCGAGAGGGGGAAGGTGGCGCTGATTAGATGAATTCTCTCGTTCTATTTTTTTTTAAAGAAGACCTATTCTGTTAATGCTGCCTTTTCTTCACTCCTCTAAAGTTACATATGTATGTGCATTAAAAATAAAATGTGCACACAATGTTCTTTCTGGCAGTTATATAATCACAAGGAAGTTACAATGTGTGTTACACATTTAAAATCATCAACAGCCCATAATAGTCCACTGTTGGACATAGGCCTCTTTCGAAAACGTACCAGGGATTTCCTTGCTAGGGTGCACCTGGTTTCCCGGCTATTGGTTCCCGGTTTTTTGTCGCTTCGAGTCCGACATGGTGGCTGTTGGGTGGTATCCAAGGGGATATCCGCGCAGGAAAAAATAGGCCTCTCTAGAAAGGAGGTTTAAGCCTACTATACTATACAGGTGTGGAGGTGTAAATATGGTACCTGTGAAATTTGTTGCGCAACGATAACACTCTTGTTGGCGGTGAACTTGTCCTTGCGCAGGTGGATGTGCGTGTAGAGCGTCATGCCCTTGCACAGCGACGTGACGATGGCGAGGCGCGGCGGCTTCATGCACGCGCCCATGAACAGCACCAGGTTCTCGTGCCGCGTCTTGCGGAACGTCGCCACCTGGAAACGATGTACCGACGGATTAGTCAACGCTGGGACATTGTTCTTTAACTCATCTAACTCCATCGGAATGAGATAGGGTCGATAAGTTTTTTCTTTTCTTTTTTATAAGACAACTCCCGCACTAGGAATAAATCCTGTGTCACGGGGGACTTTACAAACATACATGAAACGGACACAAAGTACACCCAGACTCAGAAAAAGAATTTGTGGATCACAGAAAGTGTTATTCCATGTGGGGTTTGAACCCGCAACACTCGGCGTAATAGGAAGCGGCGTGGCGACCGCTTAAACCACTACGCCATCCGTGCAGTCGCTAATTGATAGGTGAGGTTGCCAGCTAACGGTTTCTGTTTGAATCCATTATTTGTACCGGTATCCATTTTACTCTTAGACTGAGTCGAGGAAGCGAGTAGAAATTTATTTAAAGAGAAATTAAAACGATTGTGTAGTGTTATATAAAATACTACCAGTTTCCCAGGGTTTCACTTGCGTTTATGCGTCGCTCTTAAGAGTTGTAGTATGATGTTTTTATAGTATATACTATTCGCCATTAAAAAAAAAACCTTTTAACTTTTTTATATTGATACAGATAATAAAGATAAGATAATATTTGGTTGTACATGCAGGAGCAATCGCCGTTCATCGAGAACTGTAACTAAAGAGTCTTAAAACCAGTTTTCTGTAAGGCCTTGGTTTTACTCCGCTCGAAGCAGGGCTCTTCCAAACTGACTGATTGGCCTGTTGGCCTAGTGGTTAGTGACCCTGACTGCTAAGCTGGAGGTCATGGGTTCGATTCCCACCCAGAACAAATATTCGTATGATGAGCACAATCATTTGTTCTGGGTCTGTGTGAGATTTATCTATAATATGTATGTATTTAGAAATTTGTAAGTATGTTTATCAGCAGTCGGGTTACCATAGCACAGGCTCTGTCTAGTTTGACACCAGACGGCCGTGTGTGAGGTGAGGTCATGCAAATTATTTTTATAACCAACTAAAAAAAAACAATAGTTTACTAATAAAATAAATTCATTTAGTAATATAGTTACATAGGGCGTGTGGTACCTCGTGTTTGAAGGTGTCCAGCGGCACGCAGTCGTCGCTGAGCGAGTGCACGTGCAGCACCTTGACCGCGACGGCGCCGTGCCAGCTGCCGCGGTACACCGTGCCGAACCGCCCCGTGCCGATCACCTCGAACAGGCGCAGCTCGTCGTACGGGATGTCCCATTCTTTCATCGACAGCTGTGTGACAAGAAACAACTTTTATGACGTCATTTTATTATTGTATATACTTATGTTATACATGGAACGAATGGAAGGAGTAAAGATAGTACAGATAGGTACATAGATAACTCTTTTATTTGTACACCATTGTTGAAATAAAATCATACAGGCTTGTGTCAAACAATTATAATGTATTAAGGGTAGCTTTATTTTATTAACTGCAATCTTTTCTAGGGAACTTTTTTAGAATGGAACAAAATGTTTCGAAGAGAGATATGTAATTTGGGTTTTATTTTATTACTAAATATTGAAAGAGAGGGATAGAGAAAAGAGGTAAATTTAATTAAATTGTTTACTCTACATTTGGATACTCTAAAGAGAACTATCGATTTAAATTTAGAAAAGCTTAAGTATGGAGGTAAATATTGTGTGAATAGTACAATACTTGTACACATAGGTAAATACAGCCAAATAATAATAAAATGCACCCATATACTTATGCTTACTAAAGACAAAACTAACAAAAAAATATATTACAGTTTGATTGCCTCTTTAAGCTTCAATAATAAATCATTAAAAAAAAACAGTTCAAACGACTTTAAACAATACTAAAAAAGAGCACTAAATACCTAGCACAGCGATCGCGGTTGATTTGCTGTCGTTTTTAAACATAAACATAAAATAAATATAATAACATTCGAATTGATAACCTCCTGCTTTTTTGACGTCGGTTAAAATATTATTGAGTTAATAGCCTTCTAGATTTACATATATCTTCACATTTGGGCAATATAAATCTCCATTTAAATTTTGTACAAATTTGTTAAAGTTGTTTACTAAATGAGAATGCCATTGCATTTCTAATTGGTTTTCGTAAAATATACACACAATAAGAGCTTGACTTACTTCTTCAAATAATTGACGTCTACGTATAAATACAGACATGTTAAAAAACACTAGATTTTCTCACCAAACCACTAAAGTGTAAAACACAAAAAAATTAGGATTATCACTATTTACACATAAGTTTTGTCGCTTAAAGTTAAAAACACATAACAACTGGAAACTTTTCTGATCAATATAAAATTTTAAAACATATTTATTGGTTTGTCTATAACCGTTTCTTGTAACGAATACAAATTCTATGGTCAATAAAAGTGTACAATTTTGATTAGCAAATCGTTTTGTCTAACAATTATACCGTCTCACTAGCATCCACAATGTACAACAAATAAAAGCTCAAATGCGTCACACTGACAGTATAAGTAATAATGACATTAATTCTGTTATCAGAAGGGAAGGCGCCCTCACAATACCGATGTTATCAGTAGTTCGTGACCATTGTTGTCGAACACAAGCAAAAGGGTTCAGGTTATGTTTCATTATGTTATTATACATATAATTTAGCAACTTAGAAAGCAAAACAGTGAACAATTAAAGGATAAGGGATTTTTCGCCTTTATTTTTAGACGCTCTAACACAGAATGCAGAAAAGGGCATAACTTTGAGAAATTATTTAATTAAATAGAGACTCTTACTTAGACACAATAGAGTAATTATAGTAGCTCTGTTCTAAATCAAAATAAAACTACAATATCTACACTTATATTCAACTAGCTGGTACCCGCGATTTCATCCGGAAAAATATTTTTTTTTTTATCGAAATCGGTCCAGCCGTTTTGAAGATTACATGGAAGCAACAGACAGACAGACAAACAAAAAAAAACTGGTTTTAGACATAGGTATGGTGCAAATAACCGTGTTAGCATGAAAAAAAAACATAATTTTGACATTACAAACAGAGACTTCAATTTTATTTATTTGTATAGACTAGAAGCTGCCTTTATCTTTGTAGCATTACCTTAATATCTTCTGATATAAGAATTGAGAGAATTGTTTAAATAATAAAAAAAAATTAGGTGCTAACAAGTGTATTTATCACGCGAGCGTACTTACTGTGTTTCGTCTGTTAAATCTAGTCCGCCGCGTACATGTAGCTTCATACTTAAAGTTTAAATTGGACCTGGCTTGGTTCTACTTCAAGTAACGAAAGCAAATTTTAGTCTAGATATGTACGAGGGGTGATCAATAAGTAATGATAATCGAGTATTTCTAGAACGCACAAAAACCCAAATTATTTTTTTTCTGCTTGCTTATATATCCACTACTTCAGCTTCAAAAAAATGTATAAATAGGACACCATTACCGGGAGATACATTCATTTGAATACGAACTGTCGAAGAGAAAACATCAAAATGGAGAAAAATGAAATAAGAGCTGTCATCAAGTACCTCTGCCTGAAAAAAATGTCTACCAAAGACATACACAGCGACTTAGAGGAAACATTGGGGGAGTCTGCTCCTCCATATTCCACAGTCGCACGCTGGGCAAAGGAATTTAAGCTGGGCAGAACCTCCACTGAAGATGAACATCGCGAGGGACGCCCTTCCACGTCCCTTACTGGAGAAAACGTCAAAAAAGTGGAAGATATCGTGTTGGCCGATCGAAGAGTGACCATAAGGCATGTAGCTGAGGTCACAGGAATCTCCTATGGCAGCGTTCAAAAAATCATTGTCAACAAAATGCACATGAAAAAGGTCTCTGCGCGTTGGGTACCGAGAATGTTAACCGACGAGCTAAAAAAGAAACGAGTCGACATTTCGAGGGTGAATCTTCAAAAGTTACACGCCGATAAAGAATTTTTTTGTCGCGTTTTGTGACCATGGACGAGACCTGGATCCACCACTTTGATCCCGAAACCAAACAACAATCAATGACTTGGAAACGAGCTTCCTCACCAACGCCGAAGAAATTCAAAGTGTCAAGTTCAGCGGGAAAGGTTATGGCGTCTGTTTTCTGGGATGCAGAAGGAATTATTATGGTGGAATATTTTAAAAAGGGGGCCACTATAACAGGCTCTTACTACGCAGGCCAAATAAGAAGATTGCGAGAAGCTATTAAGTCAAAAAGACGCGGTAAACTGCGCGCTGGAGTGCTGTTTCACCAAGACAACGCCCCGGCTCACAAAGCCGCAGTTGCGATGGCTGCCATTGAAGAAACGGGGTTCGAACTGCTCGAACACCCTCCCTATTCGCCAGATCTAGCTCCCAGTGACTTCTACCTCTTTCCTCGCTCAAAGGACACCTCCGGGGCAACAAATTTGAGGACAATAGTGAAGTGATGGCCGCAGTAGAGGCATTTTGGGAGGGTCAAGACAAAGAATTTTTTTCTAAGGGAATCATGGGCTTAGAAAAAAGATACACTAAATGTATTAACTTGCAAGGAGACTATGTTGAAAAATAAAATACTTTTTTTAATCTAATAGTTCTGTTTCATATTGATTATCATTACTTATTGATCACCCCTCGTATCTTTAAAAAATAATATTAATAACTTAGGTAACACACTAATGGCATCCTTGTTAATCTCGCCAACAAAGCTGAATGCTTTTGTTATGTTTAAACCGACAACGACGCCTATACATTTTCATCTATTCGCCCCTCACGAATTTACTCAGCTTGAACAATTAATATACTATACGGGGTTACTGGTTAAGTCGACCTAGATACTTTAAGGGGGTGTAGTTGCCATCATTTCTGATAGTGTATATGAAATACCATATCCCAAACCTAACCATTTTCAAGATATTAGAGTTTTAAGACCTTTTTATAAAAAGTGGTCCGTGTGGTGACGGATTAAGAATACAGAGTGTCACCACCCCTATTCATCCCGTGGGTGTCGTAAGAGCCGACTAAGGGAAAAAACTAAGCAGGACAACAGCACTGCAGAGAGAAGGAAAACTTGACACAAACCCTATACCAACCCGTCTGGCCAGCGTGGTATAGTAGGCCAAAACCTCCTTTCTCAGGAGAGGCTTATGTCCAGCAGTGGACTATTAAAGGCTGTTGATGATTATAAAAATGCCTAATACAATTTAGAACTTATATCCTCATTAAAGTATCTAGGTCGACTTAACCAGTAATCGTATATGTCTAATACAATAATATTTGTAACTTCAGGGCTGTAATTTCTGTTTAAATACATAAACATAATTATACTAGTAATTACTATGTTCCAGATGGTATGTTAATGTACTCACGCTGTTCTGTCTGGGCCAGCGCGAGTCGCCTTTGTTGGAGAGGTCGAGCGAGTCCCCGCGCTGACACCCGCCGCTGTCTGTCGAACCGGAGCCCGACAGCGACTCGCCTGCAGAGTACACATGACATTCAATTTTTTTAAAGTTACCTTATAAAACATTACCATCACATCACATCACATCAACAGCCTTTAATGGTCCACTGCTGGACATAGGCCTCTCCTTAGAAAGAAGGTTAAACATAAAATAAAAACATTACCAACACTGACTAAAATTTCATGACTGAACTACAGTTTATAAATTTACCCAGTTTTGTACAGATTAAGTCAAGTTTCGTTCTATATTTTTTTTTTTAAATATTCTACTACATACACACAACGCCATCTAGTCCCAAACTAAGCAGAGCTTACAGCTCTATGGCTACTAGACAATTGATATAAATACATATATACTTTTTTTTTTGTAAATACATACATATTATACATAGAAACACCCAGACCAAATCAAACATCAAATGTTCATGCACACAAATGTTTGACTTGAGCGGGATTCGAACCTGCGACCTTTGGAATAGCAGTCCGTTACACAAACCACTACGCCATCCGGTCGTCAATATTTATGGTTATATGGTGGTAGCCCTGACTAACCTTAAGCCTCATAGAAGTTTTTTGAGAAGATATCTATAACGTGAGAGTTGTAATACTGTTAAGTTTTGTGTATGTTGATCATACAGAGGATAGATACTCACCACTTCTTACGCTAGCGTTGAATTCTTCTTTATGTTCGTGTTGTCTCGCAGGAGACTGCACATGTATGTGGGTGCCTATTGTGTGATTTGGACTAGATACTATTGGCTTCAATTCTGTAAAATAGAGAAACGTTATGACGATATTGCATCAAATTCAAAATATATTTTTGTCATAAAAAAATAAAATTGTTTGAAATCGTCTTCTAAGTAGACTTTAAAGTCGTAGATCAACACACACACACACACACACACACACACACACACACACACACACACACACACACACACACACACACACACACACACACACACACACACACACACACACACACACACACACACACACACACACACACACACACACACACACACACACACACACACAATAGCAACAATCAATGTTTTGTCAAATAGTAAGGAAATTAATAAAAATTATACTTAAACAAAATCTATAATATGCGTGTGCCGATCCACAACACACATCGAACACTTTCATCTTACAGAAGCATCTTTACATCGTATAAAATGAAGTTGCTGTATGTTTGTTTGTATGTTTGTAACCGACTCCTTTGGGCGTGATTTTGACTGACTTTAAACGGTCAGAATACGTTCAAACTTTGTAGATATCTCGAGGACCGATGACAATACATTAATTAAAAAAAAAAAAATAGTTTAAACGAACTAAAAAAAGCGTGGGGTGCTTTTTACTATTGACAACAGGCACCCAACGCTTTTTTTTCAAATTTATTTTCTATTTTTTAGTTTGGTTTTCTATGGAAAGCGTGTTTTTTAGTTTTTTAAAACTATAATATTTTTTTTCTTGTACGCTTAGATCTTTCGAACTACGCAACGGATTTTAATGCGGTTTTCACTAATAGAAAGAGTGATACAAGAGTCGTGTTTATATGTATAATACAGTAGAGGAAATCCGAGAATTCAAAGACTCGTAATGTTAAGTCGTAAAAAATATGTTTTTGTGCTCATTGCAGACGCTAGCTAAACCTTATGAGATAGATCAAAATAATGTACTACGGCATTTTATATCTTAACTAGATCTTAAGAAGATGATTTCATTAACTTTCTTATATCTTTCTTTCTTATATCTTTCTTTCTCACAGTATTACTTTCTTATATCTTTCTTTCTCACAGTTTTACTTTCTTATATCTTTTTTTCTTACTACTCTAAGAAAGAAAGATATAAGAAAGTAATACTATGGACAGTATAGTATAGTAATAGTATAGACAGACTCGGAGGATTGATGACTTGAGCATTATCTATGCATCAGTCAGTCATTCATAACAAAAAACACCGACCAACTTATTTATATCCAAAAAAGGTTCCATAAGAGAGTCTAGATCTAACCTTTCTACAGACATAATAGGTTATTTTGATTGATTTTATGCTCACCAGGAAAGTGGAATTGTTGCTTAGTGGTGGGTGGATGATGGATGTGGTGCTGGTGGTGAGGGGTGATGGGCGGCGCCAGCGCAGGCGACGAGGGCGTCGAACTATTGCACGACGAGGTATTCGATGATGAGTCAGGGCATTGCTGCAAGTTAAAGGCCAATTACCGATCGTATCGTGTGTCGTGATGATCGGATGTAGTTTATTTATTATTTTATGTTAATAGCTGGCTGTGTCGCTGATGAAGATCGTATATATATTCAGGTATTCAGTGGTCACAGTATTATATTTTTTATATAAAAGTAATCTTGTGTCTCTTTCTGTGTCCATGGCAACCGTTAAGTAAACTTTCATGGTGATAAATGAAGTAGTTAAGGTGTGAGTGTAATAAAAAAAAGTCGGTTGTCTGTAAAGTCGGTTTATTGACGATAGTTGAACGTGACAACGTCATAAGAAAATACTGATGGAATGGTTGCATTTTATGAAAAATGTAAATGTATTATTGTATAGCAGCTGTCCACGCGGACGCATCGCTCACTCAAGTAGGAGAGAGAGAGATGTCAAACGCTGCCGAACGCGGAGGCCGATTGTGCCTCTTTGTCGCTCGTTCCGCGCTCTCGCTTGCACTTCAAGCCTTAAATGGAACGCCTCAGAGCGAGGTAACGCCGCATGAGTCATGTTTTTTCGAGCGTGCAGCCGGCTCCATCGAATTATAAGACGTTGTCACGTCAAAAACTATATAAACACAGACACGTGTATATTGTGACGGTGTGTGTGTGTGAGGTGGAGAGAGGCGGAGAGAGGTGGAGAGTAGGAGAGAGAGCGTGCACTGACGGCGTGGTGCGCGGGCGGCGGCGGGTGGTGCCTGCGGCGGTGCGACAGCGACAGCAGCCCCGCGCCGCGCCCCGGCACCGGCGACACGTACCCGTAGTAGCCTAAAGTAACATTCACCACACACTCAGTTATATACTCCAACATACATTATACTTTAGGAATAACAATGTGGTACGTTCGCCAATATTGACATGCAAATTTCAATCACATTACAAATCAAATTACAATTCAATCAAATTACATAAAAATTGCATTGTAAATTTTAAAATTAAGACGCTTAACTAAATTAAAGTAATCGTTACGTTATATATACATACATTAAACATATGGAAATGAATATATAATAGGATAATTGATGTCAAATTATTCAACATTTAAAATTCAATAAAATCATATATATTTAATTCGATCGAAAAATTTATACATGCTTTAAAAAGTTTATTGTATCAGCCATTTTTTCAATTCAGCCTTCATTTTTGACAGTGTCAATTCACTAATTGACTTGGACACTTCATTAAAAAGTCTAATACACATTATATAACAATTACTATGAAAAAAGAACTCCTACATGCAGGCATTAACAATCTAGTGGGATCTCTTTTACCTATGACTGAATTGTCTCTAGCACTATAAAATTCACTTGCAAATTTCCAAGATATATGTGTGTCGAGTGAGTATACTATTATTTTTAAATAATCGCCATCATAAATCTAGTGGTACTGCATCACACAAAGCTCTTATGCATTTCTTCTACTAAGTAAAAGCTTCATTTCTATGAATATGACAGTGACAATTTTTCATGACTTGTTGGCATCGAAACCGATGATTCGTTTTAGTTTTTTCGTTTTTTTTTTTTAAAAGACAACTCCCGCATTAGGGATATATCCTGTGTCCTGGGGGACAATTTATTTTGAATAATATGAAAAATCTTACCGTCTTTGTGGATCTTCTCTTTGAAAGCGTCTACAAATTCCGGAGGAAGACCACACGAAGGGGGTACTTTGCTTTCGCAGTCTCTATAAGACAACAATTTACAATTAAATATACATACACTATTATACGCTAATATTTATTCTCTATTATTTTAAAGATAAACGTGTAAATGAAGAAGGGGGGGATAGGAGAGAAACTTTACAAAAAATCGAATTCCATTGTTTTTGTAATAAGAATAATAATCTATGCTGTTTCTTACACTCTGTATTATCATTTGTGTGTGCATAAATGTTATACAGAAACAAAAATCAAGCGAGCCTTACAATAGTCGGGTACAGGGTGTAGCATCCGACATATCATCTAACATCTGATGGCTTGTTAACCATCGGATGTGTTCTATACACCACACCATGACCGCACGTGCTTGTTGGTCAAATCTAACCTAACCTAACCTGACTTCCTGTTCACACATTTCCGTCAGTAACTCCCACAGATCACAGGAAAGCTGTTTACGTCAAGAAATAATTTATACTAATATTATAAAGCCGACGAGTTGGTTTGGTTAAACATACTTATCTCAGGAACTACTAGTTTGAATTGAAAACTAATTTTAGTATCGGATAGCCAGTTTATCGAGGAAGGCTATTGGGTATATATCAGATCACACTATCACCAATAGGAGTCGAGTATCAATGAATAATCTTGTATAGTAACGCACCTGTGACACTTAAACTTGCATTCCTTGCATTTAAGTCCAGAGCCGAATAGCATTTGCTTATCACAGAAGTCGCAGGTGGCGATCATGTTGAACTTCTTGGTGAAGCGGTGAGCGATGTCGTGCGCCATGCACCGGCTCACCGTGGGCGTGCGCGGAGAGCGCGGCGCCCCCCCACCGCCCACTGCGACCTGACCATAACATGTTAGTAGCTTTAATCAGAACCACCTAAATTCTATAAAAGAGGAAGAAGCTCATGGAGCATCAGAAGGAAGTTTGCGAAGTATGTGTTTCTAAAGATTAGTTTATTGGACTGAGAGCGTGTTTGTCCTATTTATTTTTCCCACATAGACCATAAAAAAGACCAGGGGGGAGTATAGAGCATAAAAAAAGACCTGGGGTATAAACCATAAAAAAATTACAACTAGTCGGAGTTTCCCGAAGATCTACCCTCTAATCTTGGTTGCAAGTCTATATCATCATCACCATCTTCAACAGCCTATAATAGTCCACCGCTGGACATAGACCTCTCCTTAGAAAGGAGGTTTTGGTCTACTATACCACGCTGGCCAGACGGGTTGGTATAGGGTTCGTATCAAGTTTTCCTTCTCTTTGCAGTACTGTTGTCCTGCGTAGTTTGCTCCCTTAGTCGGCTCTTACGACACCCTCGGGATGAATAGGGGTGGTGACATTCCGTATTATTAAACCGTCACCACACGTATCGATGATAAAATTCATAAGTAGATGCGAATAGAAAGAATATTACAAGAATACTAGAAAAGAATTATGTCCTTACATTATTATTATAATAGGCTGGTGGTCGATGTGAGGGAGTGGTTTCGGGCTCGGTGTCGTGAGGTGAGGCAGGAGGTGTACCATCGGCAGTACCCACTGCGGAGGATTGGCTATTATCGCTGCAACAATACAAAAGGATCGTACATGCGATCTTCGACGTAGCAGGCGAATGTGGCACACAGGCAAACATAAATATAATAATGTTACTTTTATAAAAATATTTAAAATACATACGTACCTGAGGTCAGAAGCGTCTGGTCTCACCGAGAGCTGAGACTCGTGTGAGCGGGACTTGGTGAGGGCGGCGGGGGGAGGTAGGGTCGAGTTCTGCTTGCGCTTGCACACTGGGGTTGGGGGGGACTTGCCACCTGCTACTGCAAAGATACAAACATGAGGTTTTATTATTAAGTGAGTCATACTCCAAATTATCGTTTCGTACGAAAGCTGGGAACGTGATTGGTCAGGTTGGAGGGCTTTATCGTTGCGCCACTATTTTCTTACCGCGAATACACTACAGTTAATGATTTTTAAGTGTAGTATATTTGCACTCTAGAACTTATGATACAAGAATGTATCTTTTGCTAATTATTTAGTTTTGTCTTTGTTACATTCAAACTTAAATTAAAGAAACTAGCAAAAAAAGTTCAGAATTTTTTTTAGTTGTGATGTTGTCAATGTAATATTTCCATCCAGTGGTGATCGCAATAAGGTCGCTAATTGTCCTTTTTTATATATTTTTTTTGTTTCACTGTCTTTATATCATTAGACTTACAATAATCTAAACAAACTGTTCTATTTTTACGTTATTTTTTTGTACACAAATAGTCTATATCTATTTAGTTTAGAGAAGATGAGTCATGTGTGCAATATACCTTTCTTAGAATTGGTGTTATGATGGTCGTTATTGTGCCTTGCTCTGGGCGCCCGGGGAGAGGCCCGGACGTGTCGTTCCCAGGAGTCCCAGAACAGTTGCAGCTCAGCATTACCCTCGCCTCGGCCCAGCGCCTCTGTATATAACAAAACCCAACCCGATAATTTTTTTGGACACTAATTATATAGAAGAACTTTATGGTATAGTCAGTGATAATACTAAAGTTCCAATGTAAATGTATACATTAATATTTGAGTGTGTACCCGTAATTCCACTACTTTAACCACTGGTGGGTCCATGGCTAATTTTTATTCCCCGTAGTGAAACTGCAATAGAACAGAACCAAGGGTAACTTCAATTATACGACTTTTTTACCCATGGTCCCACTACAAAGTAATGCGTTCATAGATTAAAAGGACGGTTAATCAAAATTGCCGTGGACCCATTGAAACTGCCGATAACATAAAAAAAGCTCTATATTGCAGTGGGACTACGGGGAAAAAATTACTTATAGACCCACCAGTGGGTTACAGTAGTGGGACTACGATAAACACGAAAAAAAAAATTATAAAATATTTATCTATTTATTGTTTAGAAATTTACACAAGACTATTGATACAATGTATAAATTAAATATGTAACATCTTTTTGATAAACATTTCTTTTATATCATATAAGGTATTATATATTTAGAATACGATGAGATTTTAGTTTTAATATACTTATTTCTTGGCATAAAATAGGTATGTATTTTTTATTTTTAAATACAACGCTATCCTAACGGTGTCGATCACCTGTTAATTACGTGAGACGTTTAGGGTCGGGTTGAACTTATTAACACCCAATCTCATGTAGGGGCTCATCTATACTAACATTATAAATACAAAGGTGTGTCTGTCTGTCTTTCTGTTACCTCTTCAAGCTTAAACCGCTGAACCGATTGTCACGATTGATGAAATACGTCACGTGAGATAATTGTCGTAAATGGAAGTCTAATTATTACAAAAACGCCTCACGTAGCTAATGGAAACCCCCTTTTTTTCCGTGCGGAAATCCCCTCGGATACCACCTATCGGTGGCATGTCGGACTCGAACCGACTAAAACCGCACGCCGTCTCGGGTACTAATAGCCGGGGAACCAGGTATACCCTAGAAAGGAAGTCCCTGGTACCCCGACATACCTCGGGTCATCTACAGACGAGTAGACGACCCCCCCCCCCCCCGTGTGGAATGGAAACCCCCTAATAGTATATTCCTTATCATGTATACGGTTCGTAACAATTCATATAGGACGATATAGCAACAGTGGACGTCTTTCGGCTGAGAAGAAGAAGCCGTACATCTCTTTCTTGGACTCATTGTACACTATCCACTTACCGATATAAGTCCGAAGGCGGTGCATCGCTCGACACAGCCGCAGCACCTCCTCATCTCGTGCGCCGGCCAGTAGCGCTCGCATCTCGTGGTCAGACCTTTCCCGAAGGGACTCCAGTGATGCTATACGGGACACGACAGCCTGGAGACAATAATATAAGGATTTTTATTATTTTCCAATTTAAGAAGAGTTTGATCATAACCGTTCTGGCTTTCCAGTTTAGTTTATAGTGCCCAAGAGAGCAATGGCTGAGGCCGGGGACGCCGTCCGTACGTCAATCCTGTGGTTTTAGAAATTACTATTTCAGGAATATATAAGATATTTACTATCGGGGCTCATGGCTAAATGATAACTTAGTAGGTTAACACATTTCAAATTTAAGCAATGTTAACCAGTTTAATTTATAGTGCCCAAGAGAGCAATGGCCGAGGCCGGGGCCGGCTATCCGTATGTCAATCCTGTGGTTGGAGAAAAATACTATTTCAGGAATATATAAGATATTTACTATCGGGGCTCATGGCTAAATGATAACTTAGTAGGTTAACACATTTCAAATTTAAGCAATTATAGCCAGATCAGTCTATGGATGGTTGAGCATTCATAACACATTCAGACCCCTCAGTGCCTCGAAGAGCACGTTAAGCCGTCGGTTACGGTTGCCATAACATCTTTGGCAATCGTTACGGATAGTCGGAGCCCTACAAATGCCGACAACAGTCTTTTTACAGAACTTCGATTTCGCCTAGTTTTGGGAGGTCTGATGGCGGTCGCTCCACGTAAACGCCTTTCGCTGAACTTCGATTTTTTACGTGGAGCGACTCCACGTAAAAAATCGAAGTTCAGCGAAAGGCGACCCCAACCTAGTTTGGGAAAAAGGCTCGGAGGAAGATTTAAAACTAAAAATACACTTTAATGGTGAACCGACTCAAAAAGAGGACTAATTTTTAATTCTTGGCTTTTTCTTCATACCGTCTCATCTTACCAACCTTATTCTGTTTGACTCGACAGAAAGGTATTCTTGGAGTAAATTATTAAACATAGAACGTTGACCGTTATGTGATTAAATCGTATTGTGACAGAAACTTGAATCGGTATTCTGCTAGTCTTAGTAATACTTTACAACGAGAATACCTTTCATGTCATTTGTGAGATTATAATAGATCGGAACTGAATTTTGAACGAATTTATCATTACGAGAATTGACCTTCTGATTCCTGCTTACATCTGTTAATATCAGGAACGTATGTGCGAAATCAATATCGACAGGCGATATTATTAAATGTAATGTTTAACATGTGGTGTTATGGAGCGATGACGTAACAAATAATTCGTCATGTTCACCTCGTATATTCGTTATCTCGTTATTATCTCGATAAACACTTGTTACGGTTATATGTTTTTTACAAGTGTTCACATCATCTTGACTCATATTTACGTCATCACTTTTCTATTCGCATCAACTCATGGATTACATAGGATCTATACGTGTGGTGATGGATTAAGAATACGGAGTGTCACCATCTCATTCATCCCGTGGGTGTCGTAAGAGCCGACTTAGAGAGCAAAACTCCGCAGGACAACAGCACTGTAAAGAGAAGGAAAACTTTAAACAAAGCCTATACCAACCCATCTAGCCAGCGTGGTATAGTAGGCCAAAACCTGATTTCTAAGGAGAGGCCTATGTCCAGCAGTGGACTATTAAAGGCTGTGGATGATGATACGATCTATATACATAATAATATGATTTACATGCCTATAACACTAGTAGAGTTTTTTTTTTTAATTGTGTAAGGGGGCAAACGAACATACGGGTCACCTAATGTTAAGTAACTAAGTAATAAGAATCACAAGTACTTTGAGGGCTCCCTCTGGGACTCAGGGACAGGGGGAGGGATCCGCTAACATAACTCACTCACACACAGCAGCGTAAGAATGGCTAAGCACCAGTTCTGTGAGGCCGTGGTATCACTCAAGTCAAGCCTGCAAATTTGTGCCGAACCATAGCGCTCCTACGTTAGACTCGGTTAGTTGTAGTCAGTCAATTATTAACAAGAATGATTGTAGTCATCATATCGTATTATTTACAGTACACAGTACAAGCAGTATATACCGTATATGTCGTGCTTACAGCCTCGCTTACAGTCAAGTTGAATTGCTGGTATGAATAATAAAGAAAAGGCATATCGGTGTGGCAAAAGTAACATTTTTGGATGTGTAGAAAACCCTTCATCCGCCTAGGGCTTACGGCCGCGTGGTGTATATCGAAACGACTAATACCACACAGTGTGTCATAACTACTACTGTACTACCTCTAAAACAGGTGGTATCCTGGGACTAACACTATCCATACCCTGAGGAAAAATTAACTACTTTACCTTACAATTTATCAACGCTGAGGCTAGAAACTTGAAATGTTGGCAACTTAATCCTACAAGTACTCACTAAGAAAGGATTCCTGGAAATTTCCCCCCCAAGTGGGTAAGATAAAAGATGGACGGTTGTATTAAAGTTCGTCATTTTCAAAGTTATCAAGCGAAGTCGAAGCAATAGCTACTGCTATAATAAAAGGTTTTTTTTTTATCCATTTGGTGGTTACCATGACCACTCCGCTCATTACAGTAGTTATCGCTGCGCTTCGCGGCTCCTAAGTGATGAGCCGACATACTAAACGTTTTGTGAAAGTTTACTACAAATGGATGTACGATGTTACGGTTGGTGCATTGTAAAAGTGGTCTGGATAATATGACGAGATCAAATATAACATCTCAACTCCTTAGTACGACTCAATATAGAGAGTTTTCTACACGTCCTAAAATGATACTTTTGCCACAAGGATATGCCTTTTTTTTATGAAGTTACGTATTAGTTTTACATATGTTTTTTGAAACACATGCAAAATTTAACAGTCCACCCCTTACAGAGGAGGTTTTGGTCTACTATGCAACGCTGGCCAGACAGGTAGGTATAGGGTTTGATTCAAGTTTTCCTTCTCTTTGCAGTGCTTTTGTTCTGCGTAATTTGCTGGCTTACTACTGCTAGCTGGCTAGCTACAAAAGCATGGATTAAGAATACGGAGTCCAGCAAGGATGTTTGCTTTACTCAACCATTATATTACCGACCAAGATTTTAGAGTTCGCAATAAAATTTCGAATTTCGGAACTTTTTTAAGGTATGGGGGCAAACGAGCAGACGGGTCACCTGATGGTAGGTGACCCGTCTCTGGACACCTGCAACTCAAGAGTCACAAATGTGTTACTTTCCCCCTTTGATTTGAGCTCCCCCTTCCAGAAACAGAGAATGGGGGTGCAAGTTAAGGTTTCGGTAACCTCACCCATTCTCACCCCACCCACTGGAAACGGGCGGCTGTAAAACGGCACGGGCACATTATAGATTTATATGTTATTTTTTACTTTGCTAAATATTAAAAAAAACCCTGTGTGTTAATCACATTTCAAATAATTTTAAGAAATAAAGTTATTTTTGACTTTGACACAGAAAACTCATCCACTACCTATATCATAAAAAAAAATCTACTAAGTATACTCCGAAAAAGCTTTTGATACAATGGACATACAGCTAATTAATGGTAGTTAAGAGTCAAACTGCGTAAGTCGAGAAGTAAACAAATATAATTTCATCACACACCTCAATGGAGTCGGGAGAGAGCCCCACCACTCTGAGCCATTGCGCGAGGCAGGGCACATCGACAAGCTCCCGTCTCAACTCCTCGCGGAAGCTGGCCTTGATCACCAGCTGCTGGGAGAAGTGCTTCACTAGTTTACCCTGAAATTTAGAAAGAAATGCTGTAAGTATATATTGAAAACACCTGCCTGATTTATCGGCAAAAGGGTCTTTAATTTGACTCTTATCATCATCAATAGCCCCTAATAGTCCACTGCTGGACATATGCCTCTCTTTAGAAAGCAGAAAGGAAAGACGGGTTGGTTTAGGGTTTGTTTCAAGTTTTCCTTCTCTTTGCTGTGTTGTTGTCCTGTGTAGTTTGCTCCCTTAGTTGGTTCTTACGACAGCCAAGGGATAATTAGGCGTGGTAACACTCTGCATTCTTAAACCGTCACCACGTCGACAGAACAGTAATCTTCAGGGTCACACTAGGATTTCACTAATAGAAAAATTGGTGATATTTAATCAATCAGTTCACTGCTGAACGAAGGCCTCCCCCAAAAAGCATCAACCATCCCGGTCTTGGTAGTCCGCGTCCCTCATTTAATCAATGACAGTGGTAGGTGATAAATGGTATTAAAATGCGTTTCAATTTCACATTTTAACGCGTAAATTGATGAAATCGCTTGACGCCATGATGACGCTCAATCGTATTGACGTCATATCGACGTATTAAAAGCGTACAATTTGCAATTTCACCAAATTAAAAACAGTTATACTATCTTTAATGATTAATGATAGAGATATGCGAGTATATTATACACCAGGGGTTGAGCAGAGGGAACATGGGGTTCCCGAACCGGGGGGGACGGGGGGGGGTCTACTCGTCTGTAGATGGCCCGAGGTATGTCGGGGCACCAGGGACTTCCTTTCTAGGGTATACCTGCTTTCCCGGCTATTAGTACCCGAGACGGCGTGCGGTTTTAGTCGGTTCGAGTCCGACATGCCACCGGTGGTACCCACCATAGGTGGTATCCGAGGGGATTTCCGCACGGAAAAAAAAAGAAAGGGGTAAACATTTAGTTATTTGCAAAAAAATTTTTAGGGTTAACGAGGAGACTGGTCACCAGGCCTAGGGTAAGTTTATTTCACACCAATTCGCTCTCGACAACAAGCCCGTTTGGCGTTTTGATTGGTGGAGATTTCTGTGCGGTCGAATCGCAACGCCGAACGTGGTCACAGTGACGAGTGAGTTGATGTGAAATAGACTCGCACTTGGCCCTGTGTTGCTAAGTGACAACTGCCGCCCATCGACACCTGCAACGCTAGAGTCACCGCCGCTCTTAGAGCCACAAGAGTCAGGGAGAGGGAGGTTTGGGTCCTGGTAACCTCTCTCACTCGGTTAAAAGTAACGAAAGAATTGCTTAACACGTTTTCCTGGGAGGCTGTGTTATCACTCCGGTCGAGCCTAGCATATTATAGGCCGAAGCATGGCTGCTCTTCCATTGTAAATTTTTCCATCTCGATGGATTGTTACTGTTTTTTTGAAGTGAAAACTTCTTCAGGCGCGTTGGGAATTTTTGAACGATAAACAAAAGAATGTATTTTTTGAGATGGAAAAAAACAATTGCACCGTGACCGTTACTGACACCTCTGTATATAACTACATATATTGGGTCAACAACTCCCGTTTACACGAGAGTTGAATTTGGGTTGAAAAAACCTGTTATAATCAAAAAGTTTCAAATTTGCATGTTTTTACATCTGTCGGCACTCCTGCCGGAGTGAAACTATTTTTTTTTAAATTTATTTAGGGTTCACCAGCAGTCGTTGCAGATATAATACAGGTAGGTACATTCAAGCATTTGTGTCTTAAATCTAACTGCACAACCAATTATAGCAAACACCACATGCAACGTGTTCTTTGCATCAACATGTTACATAATTTTAAAACTTATTTATTTAACTTAAATTCTAGAAAATATAAAAAAATGCTAACGACTGAATCACATTTTCATACGTTTGACGTGTCTGAAAGCCGTCGATACTGAATCAGAGATGACATTAACCAGGCTGTACTCTTCTCTGCCTTCACAAAAACCGTGTCTGTTACAATATTTAAGTGAAATATGCGAAAATAATAAAATATTTAAAGAGTTATAACAAACTACAATTCACAAGGATTTTTTTTATTGGCATGACGTAATATCGTCGTGGCTTAATTATAGACTAGAACTAAAATTTTCCGATAGCCTATTGCCTAAACTACTTTACTCGATATAATTCGATTATAATAGAGCACCCATTAGGCGACAATAATGTCCTGCATAATTTACCCTGTAAATTATCCCTTTTTATTTCTAATGTTCTTTTTTTTCCATAAGTAGAAAAAAAAGAATTTTATGAATTAAATGTATTTCAGCGGGTCGGAAATTGAAGTCACGACGAACAAGCCGCAGGCTTAGCAGTCAGGGTCACAGGGTATACCAAGCAGATGAAATTTCACATACTATATGATATCTCGATTTTAAGAACAAAAACGGCTGTTTCTTTATGAATGTCTGAAATATCGGTAAATTGACAAAATTCTCGTAAAATCATTGAGGTGTTGAAGAGATTACTTAAAATTTTATAATTTTTGGACTGACCTGATCTGAAAACCTTACAGAAATATATTGGCCGTTGTCAGCCTGTGACCACGGCTAGTGAAACATGGTCAAAACGTCAGGCAATTCAAAGGCATGTACTTAATACCTAACGAGAGCGTTAATTCCCGTATACATAATTATATACATATCATTAGAAGCTGGATAGTCGGTACATTTTTAGTTTATACCTATAGATGGATTGGGGAGTGTGAGCAGTCGTTCGAGAAGGCCAGGGTCGAATACCTGTTACTCTTACTGACTGTCGCCGTCATATCCGTACCCTCTAATTTTGCTTAACTAATTTATAGATGAAGCATTAAAAAACAATACAATTAACAGTACTGTGTTATGACATTTGCCCAAATTGTTTATGAACACTGTTTATGTGCTCTGATTTGTTAGTAAACTATTCATTATAAACAGCATACACAAACATTTTATATGTCTGACAAGTGTTAAACGCTAATTGAGGAAATCAGCGGTAACTTAATGACTAATGGCTCTCTACATTTAGTTGCGCAAATATTTGCGATGATTTGTCAAAGAAAAATAAATTCGAATGCAGGTGAAAGAAAGTTGACTTTAGGTTGGTCGTGCATCGCAAGTTTTTGCACAATTTCACAATGGGCGGTGTTAATTAAAGGATATTTCTTTAACTTGGATACCTTGATTGCCATAGGAACATCTGTGGCAATCGTTATGAGTACTTGGTGCCCTAAAAAGTTCGACAACAGTATTTCTAAAACTTCGATATCGCCTAGTACTTGGGTCGTGGAGGTCAGATGAAAATTCAGCCGTATCGTAGTAAACTTAAAGCCGCTTCTAACCTAGTATCGGAAAAAGGCTCGGAGGAAGGATATCTAACGCCACTAATTCCCTGTATTAAATAAGACAAGAGCTAGGACCCGTCTGTACTTCTAAAGATGTAAACGTTTAAAAGAAAAATACCCACAATGCTAGGTACAGGCGAAAAAAGTAACTCGTCAAATAATTAAAAGAAACTCTCAATTACATGACTGTTTTTCAAATTACAGGTTCTTATGTCGCGCCAACTTCTTAAGAGCAGTCTAGAGTTTTTTTTCTTTTAAGTAGAAGGTCGTTAAGAATTTCAGTTAGGTTAGGCTACGAAAGGTTTTATTTACTTACACTAACAAAGCTTGTGTACATAATAATAATAATAATAATTTCAGACATCTAACAAACAACGCCACCTAGTTTCACACTAAGCACAGCTTGTATTATGAAAGCTAGATTGACTGATCTGATCTGACTTATATACTTTTTTTGTAAATACATACATATTATACATAGAAAACACCCAAACTCCGAAACAAATATTTGCAGATAATACAAACATTTAGTCCGACCCGGGCATCAAACCAGAGATCTGGGCACAGCAGTCGCATACACTACCACTGCATCACTGAGGCAGTCATTATAAATAAAATAAATGATTGATTATAGCAGATTACACTGTTTAAATTTAGAAACAAGAAAATTTCTAAATTTAAACAGTGTAGGGAAAAAATTACATTAGTTAATACAGTTTTTTGCCACTTATTAAACTATTTTATTTATGTTGACTGGTAATTCTGCATACTTCGAAATATTTCCTCACTTGTGTCGGATTTCAAGGCTCACTCAATCAGACGGTCTAGTGATTAGTGACCCTGACTGCTAAACCGGAGGTCGTGGGTTCGATTCCCACCCAGGACAAATATTGTGTGATGAGCACGGTCATTTGTTCTGTGTCTGTGTGTAAGTTATCTATAATATGCATCTATTTAAAAAATATATATATATATTTCGTATGTTTATCAGCAGTAATAGTACAGGCTCTGCCTAGATGAAGCTGAAGCTAGCCGACGGAGCTAGCCGACGGACATAGCCTGCGTAGTATATGGCACGCCCCTCAAATTGAGTTTTTTTTTAATGAACAAAGGGAGCAAACAGTCATTTTCCTGCATCAAATTACTATACAATGAACCAGGGCCTTTTAAGATTAAAAAAATATATTTCAACAATCATATTAAATGAATAAACGCTGTTTATTAGCGAAAACTCGAGTTTTTCGATGGTAAATTTGTCCTAACTTTTTTCACAAAAATAGGATTGCTTTCTAATTGTGTATAGTTAATTCCTAAGTATCATACAATAATACTAAATTACTTTCACGTTGGCAGAAAAGTTATAATTTTTATTATTAAATGAGCAATCAGACATGACTTACGATAAATTGACCGATTCGACGAAAAATCTGATGTAACTCTGTTCACAACAATAGGATTGCTTCCTAATTTTGTATAGTTTATGCCTACGTATCGTACAATAATACTAAATAGGTTTTACGTTGGCAGAAAAGTTATATTATTTATTATTAAATGAACAATCAGACACGACTTACGATAAATTGAACGATTCGACGAAAAATCTGATATAACTCTGTTCACAACAATAGGATTGCTTTCAAATTTTGTATAGTTAATGCCTAAGTATCATACAATAATACCAAAT